GATGAGCGTGGAGGAGCGATTGAAGGTCTTGCCGCAGTCGGGGCAGCTGTAGGTGCGGCCTGGCAGGTGAGTGCGGGCATGGATGGCCAGCACCGAACTCTGGCCAAAGCGCTTGCCGCACTCAGGGCACTTGAAGGGCTTCTCCCGGGCGTGGCTGCGGGCATGGGGGATAAGGGCCGACCGCTGGGAGAAGCTCTTGCCGCAGATGCCACAGCTGAAGGGCCTCTGCCCGGTGTGCACCCTCTGATGGCTACGCAGGGATGAGTTCTGGCTATAGCACTTGCCGCACTCAGTGCAGCTGTAGGGCCGCTCGTGGCTGTGGGTGCGCTGGTGTCGCAGGAGGTAGGAGCTGTCGCCGAAGGCCTTGCCACAATGTGGGCACTTGTAGGGCTTCTGGCCAGAGTGGGTGCGCTGGTGGCGAAGCAGGTAAGAGCTGTCGGCGAAGGCCTTGCCGCAACGGGGACACTTGTAGGGCCGCTCGCCCGTGTGGGTGCGCTGGTGTTTGATGAGGTCAGAGCTCTGAGAGAAGGCCTTGCTGCAGACCTCACATTTGTAGGGCTTCTCACCCGTGTGGATGCGCTGGTGCTGGATCAGGGTGGAGCCCCGCCCGAAGCTCTTTCCGCAGATGCCACAGATGTTAGGCCGAGGGCCCTGCCCCGCCCTGGCCCGGCCACCCCGCCGGCCTGGACCTCGAAGGGCTCCTGTGAGACCCAGGGGATTCTGAAGCATCTCAAACTGCGGTGTAGACAGCAGGGCCCCTGTGGGCATCTCAAAAGGTGGCCCTATGGGCAGGCCCCCGGTGGGCTGCTCCCCAAACCCCTGAGTGAAGGAGTCCAGGGGGTGAACTCCTAAGGAGATATTCAAGGGACTTTTTTCCTCAGGATTCAGAAGCACCTCTTCACCTTCCTGGAATTTGGAACTTTGAGCTTCAAATTCTGGGGTTTGGGTTTTGAACTCAGGGTTCTGGGGTTCATATCTAGAGCTCTCAGATTCATAGCCAGGGCTCCGGGGTTCATAGCCCGGGCTCTTGGGTTCATAACCAGGGCTTTGGGGTTCATACCTAGGGCTCTGGGATTCAAACTCAGGGCTCTGAGAATCTGATTCAGGGCTTCTGGGTGCAAACTCAGGGCTTGGGGGCACAAGAGCAGGGCTTCGGGACTCAAAACCCGGGCTTTCAGGCTCAAATCTGGGGCTTTGGGGTTCAAACTCTGGGCTTTGTGGCTCAAACCCAGGGCTTTGGGGTTCAAGTCCAAAAGGTATCTCTTCGACTTCATAGTCCCCAGTGCCTTCTTGCTGAGAAATTTCCTCTTCATTCTCACTCATGTTGCCTGCAGGATCAAAGAATTACAGAAAATCCAGATGGTGTGGGACCTGGAAGGTCATTTGGTCCATTAGCAGCCAGACACCTCCCCCCTCACAAGCAGCGTTGCTGGCCCCTAGACAGATGCTGAAATTCCCTTGCCCCCCTCGGCTGACCCAGACACCCTATTACCCGGCGCCCGCACCTCCGAGTCCCAGGTTTACTAGCCCCGTGCCCTAGCTCCCTCCCTGGAGCCACAGCCCCTTCTCCTGAACGCAGGTCCACTCCTCGGATGGGCGCTCCCTCCTCACCTCTGAGAGACCCTTCGGGGCTCCTCATTTCGTCAGAACTCTGAACATCCTGGGGCTCGAGGCCCCACGGCGACGCCTCCCGCTCCATCCCCGCGGGCTCCCAGTGCGGCGGCGGCGATGGTGGGCGATCCTGCGACCCGGCCTGGGTTCCCTGAGCCCCGGGCCCCCACCGCCCGCCAGCCCGCCGCTCGCCCGCTCAGCACTGCCCAGGGGACGCGGTGGCCCAGCCGGGGCCCCCGAGGCCGGACGTCTTGACCCCGGGCCCCTCCCCTGTCCGCGGCCCCGCCCCCTCCCAAGGTCTCGGCCTCCTGGTGGCCCTCACCAGCCCCCGGGCGTCGCGGCCTCTGGGATGAGAGGCTTCGCGACCCTCCCGTCCGCCCCCAGACCCAGCTCCCGCCCCGGCCCCCGCCGTCTGGCCCCCGGCCTCGGGCTGGGCAGCGCTGTCCAACGGCCGCCCGGCCCCCCCTCCCCCGCACAGGAAGTGTCCGTCCGCGGCCAGGTCCCCCAGCCGACTCGCTCCGCGGCCTCTCTAGGAGCCGCTGGAGGTGGAAACTCGTTGGCATTAACCCTGGGCGGGAGGGCTCCGGCCTGGGGGTGGGCAAGGACCCGGCGCCCTGGATCCCGTGGGGCTGCCGGGGCAGTGTGTGTGCCTATGTTCTAGGTCTCCGTCCCTCCAGAGGCCCGTCTGTCCATCTCCCGGGCCCCGCGTCGTCGGTGCGTGTGGCCAAGGGCGAGGCGACAAGCGAGACCAAGGTCAGCGAGAAGGAGAGACGCTTCCCGGCGCCAACGGGGGCGGTGTCTAGCTCCCTCCCCGACCAGGCCTCCGGGTCAGCTCCGGGCGCGCCTCGGGAACAGAGATGGACTCCCCTTGGCCACACCGAGTCCCTGGGCCTGGGACCCCCTCCTGGAACTCCGCTCCCCACCACCTGCACGCCCACTCCCGTTCCTCCGGCCCCCGCCCCGCTCTGCTTCCCCGATCCCCCTCCTCCCTCCGGGAGGGCTAGGATAGTTGCCAAGGAGACAGTCCCGCCCCGGCTCCCAGAGGCACCGTTTCTCCGCCCCAGGAAGCCCGGCGGTTGGCCGATGGGGGCTCCGGCTCTCCCCGCCCCGCCTCTAACCCCGCGGACGGCGGGGCGCTAATGGTCGCCAGGGAACGCCAGGCGCCTTCCTGATTGGCCGGGGTCGCTCCTGTCGAGTCCGCCTTCCCTGTCCGCCAGAAGAGCCTGCAGGAGGTAGTGAGAGAGTGGTGCCTCAGGCGTCTCCTCTCCAGCCGGACCTGTACCTTCAAAACTTTTCCCGCCCCCACTTACTCTCCATTATGTTGTTTTTGTTTTTTTACCTTTTTTTTGGATTCCCTCTTTTTGGATTATTTGGAATAGTTTCAGAAACTCTCCATTATGTTTTATGAAAACCAGGAGATACGAGGATAGACACCCTTCCTCCTTGTCTGCCTCACACCCCTTGCCTCTCGCCTCCACCTTCCCCAGCGCCTGAGTTTAACTCAATCCTTGGCAGTCTTAGTCCCTAGTTCCCGGATTTCCTCACAGGGAGGCAGGATTCCTTCCAGGTGAGGGTGATACAAAGGAGAAATGGACAGAGAGAACCATCTGGTCTTCGAGGCATCTAACAACGCTCCAGTCTTGTCTGACTTGAATGGAGGCTTGCCGAGGAAGGGAACCTGAGAAACACTGCCTCGGGTGCAGCTTTGAATTGAGAAAGTGAGCCTAGACTGACAACTTAATATCATCCAGTTCTTGTCTCCTTGCTTCGTGCTGAAACAAGTTGGGCAGCGTTCTTGACAGTTAATGAGCCTGATGCCCCTGTGTGATGCAGGAGCCACGGATCCTGTTTTTCTGTCGCCTACCCAGACAAACGAAAGGAAGAGACTGCAAGGAAGGATGGCCTCTTCTATTCTCTTGAAAAGGGATGAGAACAAGAACTTGGAGAAGGCCAAGTGGTAAAAAAGTGGAGAGCGGCGGGGCGCGGTGGCTCACTGGGGCGCTGGCCTGTAATCCCAGCATTTTGGGAGGCCAAGGCGAGTGGATCACCTGAGGTTCGAGACCAGCCTGGCCAACATGGAGAAACCCTGTCTCTACTAAAAATACAAAAATTAGCCGGGTGTGGTGGCGCATATCTGTAATCCCAGCTACTCATGAAGCAGGAGAATCACTTGAACCCGGGAGGCGGAGGTTGTGGTGAGCCAAGAGCACCATTACACTCCAGCCTGGGCAACAAGAGCGAAACTTCATCTCAAAAAAAAAAAAAAGAAAGAAAAGAAAAAAGAAATAAAGGCCTACAAATAAAATCACAAGAGCTCATCCTACAAACGAAATGGGGTGGGAGAGAACTTTCTGCCCTCCGGAGGAACAGCTTCCAGCTCCATAGTTCTCTCCCATCCCAATGTCTGTTTGTCTTAAAACCTTTGCTAATAATGGTCCAGCCCTAGAGCCCAAACAGAACAGCCTATAAAAGGACCAGTTTTGGGAAGAGCTGGATATGGGGTACCCTCTGGTCATCCCAAAAGCACTCACACAGGTAGGAAACAAGTCTCCTTCACAAGACACTTCTCTGACATCCAACTTGCTGATCCACCAAAATTCATGCCCGAGAGCAGCCACACCCTGAAAATGGGTGGCAAGGCCTCCAGCCACAGCTCTGACACTGTACACTGCCTGCACTCTTATTATGGGCCACAAGTCCAGGTGTAGCAGAAGTTGAGCCAAAACTTCAAGCTGCTCTGGCACCAGCATCTCCACGTGCAAATTCACCCCCACTGGCACCAGCATCTCCACATGCAAATTCACCCTCACTGGCATCTGGAGTAAGAGTGCCTCCTCCAGCACCAGAGTGCCATCTATGCACAGGGACTTCACAAGGAAGCCAGCCTCCACCTGACACATAACCACAGTAGTGGGAGGCTCCAAGCCCAGAAAAGCCTCTGATAAGGCTGTACCTTGACCCAACACCAACTAATCCAAGGCAGGAGAAACCTGGGAGTCCACTGGCCTTGTCTTACCTCTGCATTCATGAGGATGAGGCCTGCGCATGTACTGAGTTAGGTGGTCACTGTGTACACAGCATTATTTCCTGGCATGCACAACACTAGGGCAGAGCCATTCAGTATGCAACCAAGGCTTATGGTCCAGCCAATGTGGTCAATACTGCAGGCTAGAGAGAGCCCTCACAGACATGCTCAGTGAGAGGAGCTTCCGTATGCACTGCTCCCTTCCCACATGCAAAGGACCAGCCCTCTCAAAGGCCTTCCATCCAATGCTAGAAGAGATGCCCCAGTGTATTGAGCATGATCACAGTTACCCAGGAAGAGAGCAGATATGCCACAGGGGAAGAACAGAGAAATGGAGACCTCTCCATACTCAGAGACTTCTAGGTATTAATCATGGCACCTTTAATTGGCAAATTCAGGGCCAATATCTGCCAGAGATCTTGTCAGTCTGGGCTGAAAACTGATGTTGCAAGCTGGGCTTTCCCCAGGGTGTGCTGAGGGTTAGGGGAGGGGACTGGGATGTACACGGGGAATTAAAACCTGGTACAAAGGTAGCTCCTACTGCCAAGGTGCCTCTTCTCACCCCATGTGCCCTGCTGTTCTTTCTTTGGGAAGGACAGAGAAATGGAGGACTTTGTATATGCCCTGGGACCAACCACTACTCTTGCAAAATTAAGAGCAGTTAGAAAAATAATGTTTTGTTCCCAGCAGTGGTTCTCTCAAACTTTCACAGGCATAAAATTCCACCCCTGGAGATTCTGATTTAATAGATGAGGAACAGAGCCCAGGGAGCAGCTACTTTTTTTTTTTTTTTTTTTTTTTTTTTTTGAGACAAAGTCTCACTCTCACCCAGGCTGCAGTGCAGTGGTGCAATCTCGGCTCATTGCAACCTCCACCTCTCGGGTCCAAGCGATTCTCCTGCCTCAGCCTCCTGAGTAGCTGGGACTACATATGCATGCCACCACACCCAGCTAATTTTTGTAATTTTAGTAGAGACGGGGTTTCACCATGTTGGTCAGGCTGGTCTTGAACTCCCGACCTCAGGTGATCGACTTGCCTTGGCCTCCCAAAGTGCTGGGACTGCAGGCGTGGGCCACCATGCCCGGTGGGAGTAGCTACATTTTTAAAAGACTCAGCCAGGCCCTTCCTCTAGGTGGAAATATCTATGCTACGAACTGAGGAGCTGAGAATGGGGTGGGCAGAGGCTTAAAGCTTTCACAACACTAAAAAAATTGATGAAATGGTGGAAAGTTGGGTCATGAGAGCAGGAAACAGAGGAGTCAGATCTGGCTTCTGGGCTCTAAAAAAGCTTTGCAACCTTCAAAGCACTCAGAGACCTTGAGATAGTAATCATGGCACCTTTAATTGGCAAACTCAGGGCCAAGATCTGGCTGTCAGTCTGGGCTTGCCCTGGGCTGTGCTGAGGGTTAGGGGAGGGGACTGGGAGCTACACTGGGAATTAAAACCTGGTACAAAGGTAGCTCCTACTGCCAAGGTGCCTCTTCCAAACCCATGAGCTCCTGTGATAAGGTGGCACACAAGTCAACCCACCCCTGAAAAGCTCAGAGAGGGCAGACCTTGGTGGGCTCAGATTGGAGAAGAGGTTGGAATGAATCAGTTCATTACTTCACTTGGCACCTGAACAGTGTCTTTTCACCAAAACCTCTATCTCCTTTCAGGTGGTAAATCGGGTTTCTTCCTCCCTGGGTAGGCCAGAGAGGCCAGGGCGCACAGGCCAAAGAGGTCACAGGCCGTTGCTCCCCTCGGGCAGGTGTTGTCCTGACCAGAAGCAGGGCAGGAGCTGCCCATGGCTGGACTCTGCCCACAGAGGAATTAGTGGTAGATGGAATGGAGTAGTGAGGTGATGGGGAGGGGATTCCATGCAGAGCTTGGGAATACAGATGGGTATTGTTGCTGCTGGCTACAAATCTAACACCAGGTGTTCCTGGCCTAGCCCCTTCTACCCATGATGGCACATACTTAAAAGACAGACAGTAAAGATGGCTCATACCTAAAGACAGGAAAGATGCAAGGCCTGTTTTAGCAGAGACATGGGTTCAAGAAATACCTCCCTTTCTTCTTTGCTGTACTTTAAGATAAATGTCAAAAACACTAAAAGCAAGCCATGATGAATGGCAAGTGTTGCTTGGTCAGGAGCTGATGGGATGAGTGGCTGGGCCACAGGAAGTTGGGAGTTCTGGCTCCGACCCAACTCCCAACAACTGCGATTTTATGGGAGCCTCGGTGGAGCTGCTAAGTCTTTGGACTTTTCAAGAGATGCCAGAAACCTGGATTTTGGTGCAAAATATTCTTTTAAACCTTCACCATTAATTTATATCACTTAAAAACACTGCCTGGGCCCAAATCAATACAGTAACTGCAGGCCAGATCCAGTATGGGGCCACTGGTTTTTTTAACTTGTGCAGTAAAAACACAATGGAGGCCAGTGTGATAGCTCACACCTGTGATCCCAGCACTTCAGGAGGCCAAAGTGGGCAAATTGCTTGAACCCAGGGGTTTGAGACCAGCCTGAGCAACATAGTGGGAACTCCATCTCTCTAAAAAATTTAAAAATTAGCTGGGCGTAGTGTTGTTCACCTGTAGTCTCAGCCATCTGGGAGACTGGGGCTGGAGGATTCCTTGAGCCCAGCAGGTCTAGGCTGCAGTGAGCCCAGTTCACACCACTGCATTCCAGCCTGAGTGATGGAGCAAGATGCTGTCTTAAAAATAAATAAATAGCCGGGCACAGTGGCTCACGCCTGTAATCCCAGCATTTTGGGAGGCCAAGGCAGATGAATCACAAAGTCAAGAGATCGAGACCATCCTGGCCAACATGGTGAAACCCCGTCTCTACTTAAAAAAAAAAAAAAAAAAAAAAAAGCTGGGCATGGTGGTGTGTGCCTATAGTTCCAGCTACTTGGGAAGCTGAGGCAGGAGCATTGCTTGAATCTCGGAGGTGGTGAGCCACTGCACTCCAGCCTGGAACCTGGTGACAGAGCAAGACTCTGTCTCAAAATAAATAAATAAATAAAATAAACAAACAAACAATGGGTATTGTGTTCTAGGAGGGTTAAAGAATAAGAAAAGTCCAGGCGAGTTGGCTCACTCCTGTATTCACAACACTTTGGGAGGCCGAGGCAGGTGGAGCACCTGAGGTCAGAAGTTTGAGACCAGCCTGACCAACATGGTAAAACCCTGTCTCTACTAAAAATACAAAAAAATTACCTGGGCATAGTGGCAGGTGCCTGTAATCCCAGCTACTTGGGAGGCTGTGGAAGGGAGAATCACTTGAACCCAAGAGGAGGAGGTTGCAGTGAGATCACACTATTGCACTTCAGCCTGGGCAACAAGAGCAAAACTCCATCTCAAAAAATTAAAAAAGAAAAAGAAAGACAATAGGTAAAACAAGGTTCTTCTCAACCTCAATCCTGTTAGCATCTCTGGGCTGAGAAACAGCTTTTGCTTCCCCTTATAGAGGTCTGGGGGGTTCTCACCTCAGCCCTGCCTCAGCAAAGGGGGCCTTCGAGAGCCCAGGACAGCTGGGAGCAAGCCTCTGGCAGAGGAGGCTGCTGAGAGCCCAAGATGAGACTGTCTGCACCCCAGAGCCAGCTCTTGCCGCGGATTCTAGGACCTCCCTGCAGGCTGCTGCAGAGGTTCGGCCCCTGAGCCCATCTCAGGACTCCCTCAATGTCTAGATCACACCTGGTCACCCACACTCCTGGAATATCTGTGGGTATAACTGGAAGCCCACAGGCAGGTCCAGGTCCCCATGGCCAGGGGTCAGGGTCACAGACAGCCCCCCAGGGAGCCGGCCCCTGCGCCCACCGCCCCCAGGCCGATGGACCCACTGGTGTTTGGCCATGCCTGTCTTCAGGCCGAAGCAGCGGCCACACTGCGGGCAGCTGTAGGGTTTCTCCCCTGTGTGGATGCGCAGGTGCAAAGTCAGCGCTGTGCGACGCAGGAAGGCCCGGCCACACTCGGGACAGCGGTGGGACCGCTCCCCACGATGGATAGCCCGGTGTTTGCTCAAGGAGGAAGAGTGACTGAAGGCCTTGCCGCAGTCGGCGCAGTAGAAGGGCTTCTCGCCCCTGTGGCTATAGATGTGCTCCACCAGCGTGGAGCGCCAGGCGAAGCTCTTCCCGCACACGTAGCAGCCATGACGCTGGTCCGCTCGTGGGACAGGGGGGTGGGCAAAGAAGCGGGGGTGATTCCGGCACCGCACCTTGGATGGCTGCTCCAACCAGCCAAAGGGGGCTTGGGGAGCCTTCAGCCCAGGAGGCCCGGTGGCCACAGGGAGGGGTTTCTCCAGGGCTCCGGTCCCTTCCCTTTGTCTTTCCTCTTCCTTGTTTCTGGAATCTGCTGGGAGATAAGGAGAGGAGAGTTCAGCCTCGACTCATCCTGGTCCTTGAATCCCACACCCCGTGTGGACAGGGACAGGCCTGCCGGATACTCGGCTGCCCCTGGGACCCAGTACAGGCAAGAGAGTAAGGAGTGACACTTGTTCCTCAGCTACAGAGCCAGACAGAGCCGGAAGGGAGGAAACAGTCCATTCTGCCCCGCGGCTGGGTAAATGTCACCGTGGGGAAGGGCAGAGTTGACAAGAACATCTGGGCCTGATCCGGAAGAAGGAGCAGACACCTGGGGATATTCCAGGCAACAGGAACAGCACCAAGAAAGGCAGAATCAGGCAGGCATGGCCAAGTTCAGTGGGGCTGGACAATCTGCAAAGGCTGAGGCAAGAACTGAAGGAGGGAAATGAGGGGGCTGGATGCACCTGTGTGCTGGAAGACGGTGGGGATGGGTCGTGATGTGGAGGCAGAGTCAACAGAGCTTAGATGCTGGGCGCAGCGGCTCAAGCCTGGAATTTCAGTGCTTTGGGAGGCCGAGATGGAGGACTGCTAGAGTTCAAGACCAGCCTGGGCAACACAGCCAGACCTCTGCCCCTTAAAAAAATTTTTTTTAATTAAAAGAAAAAAAAAACAGGCGTGGTGGTGACTGCCTTTACAGTCTTAGCTACTCTGGAGGCCCACGCAGGAGGATTGCTTGAGCCCAGGAGTTCGAGGCTGCAGTGAGCTGTGATGGAGCCACTGCACTCAGCCTGGGCAACAGAGACCCTGTCTCTAAAACAAAAACACCAAAAAAGAAAAAAAAAAAAAAAAAGAAAGCTCCCAGAGTGTAGTGACTAGCGACCACTCAGAGGTGAGGACGCAGAGGCAGGCATGGCAGGGCCAGAGCCCCCATCACAGCCCTTCTCTAGGCTGCAGCCAGGAGCCAGGCAGGGGCAAAGCCTCCTGGCTGCACTTGAGAAGGAAGTTCAGAGACCAAACTGCTAAGCAGGTAGCTGGAGGTGGCGGAGGACACCAGGATAGGTCAGGAACAGAGAAGTCCCCACGGGACTGAGCACCCGATACTCCACCTGGGTCCGCTTCTGTCGGACGCTTCGCCACCTCCGGATCCTGGGCAGCCGGACCCCACAGTTCGGCCTCCTACTTCACCCAGGAGATGAGCGCCTGCATGCTGCCTCCGACTCCTCGGGAAGAAGAACGCAAATTCCCACGCTGCGGGGAAAGCCGCCTGCCCGGCCGCGGGGACCCCAACTCCACGCGCAGCTCCCTGAGGCGCGGCAGGGCTTGTGGGGGCGCAGGGCCCAGGCGAGCAGGTGGGACTCTCACCGAGCGCACTCAGGTGGCTGTAGGTCTCCCGCATCACGTCCCGGTACAGGGCCCTCTGCGCGGGGCGCAGACAGCCCCACTCCTCTCGGGAGAAGTACACGGCCACGTCCCCGAAGCTCACGGCCCCAGGCTTCCTGCACTCGGGCCCCGCCCTGTTTGAGTCCCAGGAAGGGAGCGGGGCCAGAGGCGGCGCCATGGGGACTGTCAGCGCCGGCGACGGATCGGTCGCCTCCCTTCGCCGGGCCTTGGCCTGCGTAACCTCCGGAGCCCGAAAATGCCTCCTCGGCCCGGGCCTAAGGGAAGGAGGGAAGTCACTAGAGCCCCCACTAGAGGGGATGGAAACTAAGGTTCAATGGCTGCGAGTCCATAACCAGAATTGGATGATGTCTTCAAAAAAACTGCGGCAGCGGGACCGCTCGACCTTTGCCCCTGCGCAATTGTGCCCAAGACGACGCCCCCCACCGCGTTCTGGGCCGCGTTCTCTCCTTGCCCTAATCCAAAATGGCCGCGGCGGCTACACGCGCCGGCCTTAAAAACCAGCCGCACATGCTCCGGCCCCGCCCGGTGAGGCGGCACAGCCCAGAGCTCCGCCCGGATTTGCAGGAACAAAAGAGCGCCCCACGGAAGGGACCCCTCGTGAACTCAAGTTAGTTTTTGTCTCTGGGCCTTTGTATAATCGGGCTCCAGTGCATCATTCTCTCATTTTGTCCTCGTTATCTCAGAAACACGGCGACAGCAGTCTCTTCCCAATGTTGAGAGTAAAAAGTGTGAACCCAGAAATTCTGAGACATATCTCAGTTAATTTAGAAAGTTTTGGCCGGGCGCGGTGGCTAAGGCCGGGCGCGGTGGCTCAAGCCTGTAATCCCAGCACTTTGGGAGGCCGAGGCGGGCGGATCACGAGGTCAAGAGATCGAGACCATCCTGGTCAACATGGTGAAACCCCGTCTCTACTAAAAATACAAAAAATTAGCTGGGCACGGTGGCGAGTGCCTGTAATCCCAGCTACTCAGGAGGCGGAGGCAGGAGAAATGCCTGAACCCAGGAGGCGGAGGTTGCGATGAGCCGAGATCGCGCCATTGCACTCCAGCCTGGGTAACAAGAGCGAAACTCAGTCTCAAAAAAATAAATAAAAATAAAAAAAATAGAAAGTTTTTTTTGCCAAGGTTGAGGACGCATCGGTGACAGCCTCAGGAAGTCCTCACGACATTTGCCCAAGGTGGTCGGGCAAAGCTTAGTTTTATACATTTTAGGGAGACATGAGACATCAGTCAGTGTATGTAAGAAGTACATTGGTTCTGTCTGGAAAGGCGGGGCAACTTGAAGCAAAGGCTGGAAGACTGGAAGCAGGGAGGGGGGCTTCCAGGTCACAGAAGATGAGGCTTAAACTGTTGCATTCTTTTGAGTTTCTGATTAGCATTTCTAAAGGAGGCAGTCAGATACGCCTCTATGTCAACCAGCAAAGGGGTGACTTTGAATACAATAGGTGGCAGGTTGGCCCCAAGCAGTTCCCAGCTTGGCTCTTCCCTTCAGCTTAGTGATGTGGGGGCCCCAAGATTTCTTTTCCTTTCACAAAAGCAATGGAGTGGGTAAAGGAGAACCTCCTCTATTGTAGGCTTGTTGGAGCCTGAAATTCTGGAAGCTTCTAGATGGAGGAGGCAGCGGGGAGAGTAGGATAAGGTTGAGAAAGTCAGAGGGTCCTCTCTTCTAGAAGCTTCTCTCATGTGCTATGCAGGACGCCTCCCAAACGCCAGTCTCCCTCTAGCTGCAGCCGGGTTCTCAGCTCCCCTCGTGTCCTGCCCCTGCCAGGATGGCCCAAGCCTGCTCAGTTCAAACCCAACCCATACCTTTCTTGCCCCAACCTGCTTCTTCTGGGGTCTTATCTCAGTAAACGTCATCAGCTCTCCCCGAGATCTCCCTCATACTTCCTAATGGGCTACTCTGTGCTCCACATGACTTCATACATGTCCTGTGTACAGGAGTTGGAGTTACCTCCTGCCTTTTAGCTCCTACTAGGGCTCTTTAGTTGAATCTAGGCCCAGATTGAGAATCGCCTGTAATCCTAGCTACTGGGAGGCTGAGGCAGGAGGATCTCTTGAGCCCAAGAGAATGAGATCAGCCTGGGCAATTTAGGAGACTCTACCTCAAAAATAAATAAGAAAATAAGAAGAAATGAATAGATAGTAGACAGACTAACAAGAGAAAAGAATACACATTTTATCCATTTTACATGTAAGTGGGGATCTTCATGAGACAGAAGTCAGAAAAAGTGGGCAAAGTCAGGTGCTTTTATATTTCTTAGAGAGCTGTATATATGTGTGTGTGTATATATATATATATATTTTTTTTTTTTTTTTTGAGACAGAGTTACGCTCTTGTTGCCCAGGCTACAGTGCAATGGCACAATCTCAGCTCACTGCAACCTCCGCCTCCCAGGTTCAAGCGATTCTCCTGCCTCAGCCTCCTGAGTAGCTGGGACTACAGGTGTGCACCATACCACACTGGCTAATTTTGTATTTTTAGTAGAGATGGGGTTTCACTATGTTGGTCAGGCTGGTCTCGAACTCCTGACCTCAGGTGATCCACCCACCTTGGCCTCGCAGAGTGCCGGGATTATAGGCTTGAGTCACTGCACCTGGCCAAGAACGATTAATTTTAAAAGAAATGACAGGACAAAGAAAATCTGGCTAGGGTGGTAAATTTTCGAGGAGAGTCACTAGGAGATATACTGGAGGGGGCGTCAGACAGGTTGGAAGATATGGATTACTTTGTTAAGTATGTCTATTCTGGTCCCTTGTGGCCTCTAAGGCTATTTTCTCACCCTGGGGAGAGGAAGCAAAAAGTCTGGGAGAGATATAAGGATTCAGTGTTGCCCAGGGAGTGGGGTCTCAGCCCTAGGTCTGCCAGGCTTCTGAGGGACACAAGAGAAAACTGAAAATCTCCCTTAAAAGCAATGACATTTTGTCTCTTGCAGTGTCCACCCCTCGGCGTAGTGCCCATCACCCGCAGGCTGGAAGAGCTCTGGGAGATGCCGGAAGCTCTTAGGAATCTGGACCTTCCTGGGAAGGAACCAGGGGCAGAGCTCAAACTCTTGGAGGTCAGCCTCTGAGGCCCGTGTCACCAGGCCAGTGGATCCACTGATGGGCCTCTAGGTCAAGCATCGCCCACAGTGGGGACAGGCGGAGGAGCACAGGCTGGCTGGGCAGCAGGAAGGAGGGGCAGGCCTTGCTGCGGGAGAAGTGGGTTCTGTACCAGCTGTGGGCAAAGGGTCACTCCCTGGGCCTGGCAAAGTATGGCTGCACTGGGGACAGGAGTGAGGTGCTGGGTGAGTGCCAGGTGTTGAGGCCAGGCAGAGACTGCAGGTTTGGGGAAGGCCTGGCTACAGGGAGCCTTGGTCAGAAGCTCAGAGACCAGGTCAGTGTTTCTGATGCCAAGGGCTTATGACAGCTCCCAGACAGACTCCTGCTGGTCCCTTCCAAATGTGTCATGTTTCTGAGTGGCCACTGGGAAACTGCTGATTCAAAACTTACCTCTGGCCCTGTCAACTCCCCAAGACCTACTCATATTCAGGGGACAGAATCAGCCTTCAAAACAGCAGCATTCAGATGAGTACCCTTGGGAGCCACCCCCATCCCCCACCCCCAGACCATGCTGGCCAACTGAGGGGGTAACCAGGCAGTGACATACCCACACATGTCAAGGCCAACCAGAGGAGCCACCATCAACCACAGGGGCAGCTGTTCCAGGGCCTAGGAGCCTGGAGACAGAAAGGTGAACTTTCTTCATCCTAAACTTGAATTCACACCCTGCCACTAAACCGGACGATTCATAGTGTGGCCTGATTGTAGTCCCACTGGATGTCTCCAGTCAAATTAAGTGCCGGGCATGATGGCTTACCCCTGTACTCCTAGCACTTTGGGAGGCAAAGGAGGGTGGATCACTTGAGATCAGGAGTTCAAGACCAGCCTTACCTACATGGTGAAACCTTGTCCCTACTAAAAATACAAAAACTAGCCAGGTGTGGTGGTGCATGCCTGTAATCCCAGCTACTCGGGAGGCTGAGGCAGGAAAATCACTTGAATTTGGAAGGTGAGATTGCACCTGAGCCGAGATTGCACACTGCACCCCAGCCTAGGTGACAGAGTAAGACTATCTTTTTTTTAAAAAAGAAAAGAAACCCTGTCTCAGCCAGGTGTGGAGGCTCACACCTGTAATCCTGGCACTTGTGAGGTTGAGGCAGCTGGGTCACTTGAAGTCAGTTTGTGTCCAGCCTGGCCAACATGGTGAAATCCCGTCTCTACTAAAAAAAAAAAAATAATACAAAAAATTAGCCGGGCATGGTGGTGGGTGCCTCTAATCCCAGCTATGCTGAAGGCTGAGGCAGGAGAATCACTTGAACCTGGGAGGCGGAGGCTGCAGTGAGCCAAGATCACGCCAGTGCGCTCCAGCCTGGACAGTAGAGTGAGACTCCGTCTCAAGAAAAACAAAACTGAATTAAGTGAGAAAGAGGAGGTCAAGATTCAAGGCTCCAGGGGGTGTCATAAATTCAGGTCAGCAAAAATGAGTCACACTTGAGCAAGGAACATATAAAGAGCATTTCTTCCTCAACAAAACATTCCTCTTCCAGCTGGGACTCAAGAGTCACCTCCTCTTCTCCCCTTTCTGCTTTTCTCTCTCCTTCCTGGGGATTCTAAGCAGTTTGGACTTCACAGCTGGACTTCCTCCTCCTCCCAGGAGATGAGGGCTGGTTTGGAGTCATGGAATGCTGGGGAAGAACACTGATCACTCAGGAAACATCTCAAAAGACAGATACATATCCTGAGACTACATTCATTTCATGAAAATGTATTGGCCCCCTCTTGTGTGCCAAGCATTATTCTAAACGTTCTGGGTGGCGAAGACGTTGGTGAGCCAAGATAAAGTCCTTGCAGTAAGTTTACATAAGCTGGGGGAGAAAGATACCAGGTATGAATTCCACTGACAAAGGTTTGGGGAAGATCTTCTGGGCAGATTGTGTCCAGGACAAAAACATAGAAGCGCAGTTCTGAGGTTTCCAGCATGGGATAGAGCGGCTCCTGGAGGAATTTCGTGGAGATAGCATTGAAGGGCACTGACAGATGAATTAGATGTGCAAGTGTAGCCTACCAAGGACAGAATCACTAGAGCAAAGGCTCATTAAGACAGAGGCATGGGCTGGGTATGGTGGTTCGCGCCTGTAATCCCAGCACTTTGGGAGTCCAAGGCAGGCAGATCATGAGGTCAAGAGAACAAAACCATACAGAAAGTATCTGAGTGTGGTGGTGCATGTCTGTAGTCCCAGCTACTCGGGAGGCTGAGGCGGGAGACTAGCTTAAACCCAGGAGGCAAAGGTTGCAGTGAGCAGAGACTGTGCCACTGTACTCCAGCCTGGCAACAGAATGAGACTCCGTATCAAAAACAAAACGACAGAGGCATGTCAGGCCAGGCAGTGGCTCATGCCTGTAATCTCAGCACTTTGCTGAGTGTCAGAGGAAGACCAACCCTGCCTCCAGAAAGAAACAGGCATGTCCAGAGGACAAAGATTCCATCCATTTAGCTGGAGCTAAGTGGGATCACTTGCCTGTAGGGAAAGATGGGGTTTGACTTTGAGAAGGTTGGTGAGCCATGAGCCTGGAAGGCCACAGGGGTACAGGCTATGAACACTTTTTTGAGACAGGGTCTTACTCTGTTGCCCAGGCTGGAGGGTAGTGGTGTGATCTGGGCTCACTGCAGCCTCAACCTCCTGGACTCAAGCGATCCTCCCACCTCAGCCTCCCAAGTAGCTGGGACCACAGGCACTTGCCACCATGCCCAGCTAATTGTTGTAGAGATGGGGTTTCGCCATGTTGCCCAGACTGGTCTCAAACTTCTGGGGCTCAAGCGATCTGTCCCCGTTAGGCTCCCAAAGTGCTGGGATTACAGGCATGAGCCACCGAGCCCAGCAACGTACATTTTTAAAAGATACTGAGTCAGCAGGCACAGTGGTTCACACCTATAATCTCAGCACTTTGGGAGGCTGAGATGGGAGGATCACTCAAGGCCAGGAGTTTGAGACCAGCCTGGGATCCTGAGACAGGTTCAAAAAATAAAAAATAAAAACCCACAACAACAAAAGAAAGACCACGCTGGGTGACTTACTGAGACCCTTTCTCTAAAAAAAAAAAATTGTTAATTAAAACGTGGTACAAAATCTCATCCAGGTTTTAATTTGCAGTGTACATCCCAGTCGCCCACCCTAACCCTCAGCACAGCCTGGGGGAGGCCCTGTTTGCAACACCAGTTCTCAGCCCAGACTGACAGCCAGATCTTGGCCCTGAGTTTGCCAATTAAAGGTGCCATGATTATTACCTAGAGGTCTCTGAGTGCTTTGAAGTTTGTAAAGCTTATTTAGGGCCTAGAAACCAGACCTGACTCCTCTGCTTCCTGCCGTCATGAGCCAACTTTCCAGCATTTCATCAGTTTTTTTTTTTAATAGACAAGAGTCTCGCTCTGTTGCCAGGCGCCAGGCTGGGGTGCAGTGGCATGATCTCAGCTCACTGCAACCTCCGCCTCCCAGGTTCAAGCAATGCTCCTGCCTCAGCCTCCCAAGTAGCTGGGACTACAGGTGTGTACCACCACACCCAGCTAATTTTTGTATTTTTTAGTAGAGACAGGGTTTTACCATGTTGGCCAGGATGGTCTTGATCTCTTGACCTCATGATCCACCTGCGTCGGCCTCCCAAAGTGCTGGGATTACAGGCGTCAGCCACCGCACCTGGCCCATTTCATCAGTTTTTTTTTAGTGTCATGAAACCCTTCAGCCTCAACCCCATCCCATTCTCTGCTGCTCTTTTCGTGACACAGGTATTTCCACCAGAGATAGGGCCTCCTTTTCTCTCTGCTACCACAGGTCTTTGAGGGTCAGCCCCAGAAGCAACTGAAGGCAGGAAGGGGCTTTCCCAGGTTTCACTGTGTGTCAGGGAAATGCTTGTCTGTATTGACAGAATAAGCCACATCTGAGTGGCCAGAGTGAGAAGCAAAGGCCAAGGTCACGTGTCCATCCCTTATCTGTCCAGACTGTTTAAGGGTAGGAAGCCAGGCACGGTGGCTCATGCCTGTAATCCCAGCACTTTGGGTGGCCGAGGCAGGCAGATTGCTTGAGGCCAGGAGTTTGAGACCAGCCTGGCCAACATGGTGAAACCGTCTCTACTAAAAATACAAAAGTTAGCCAGGTGTGGTGGCAGGCACCTGTAATCCCAGCTACTTGGGAGGCTGAGGCCTGAGAATCGCTTAAACCAGGGATGTGGATGTTGCAGTGAGCCAAGATTGTGCCGTTGCACTCCAGCCTGGGTGACAAGAGTGAAACTCTTGTTTCAGAAAATAATAATAATAAAAAATAATAAGGGTAGGTAATGATTTGAGCTCTAAGACCCCTAAAATTCCTTGGAATGTTTGTGTGTGTTTCTTTCTAGAAATAGGACACGCAAAGATAGTTATGACCCAAAGAAGCTAATACTAGGCTAGTATTTTCAGAAAAGGCCTCCCTGATGCAGAATCGCTAGGTTATCTTTTATTATTACATTTTGAGACAGGGTCTTTCTGTGTCACCCAGGCTAGAATGCAATGGTGTGATCTTAGCTCACTGCAGCCTTGAATTCCTGGGCTTAAGCCATCCTCCCACCTCAGTCCTGCATAGCTGGGACTACAGGTGTGCACTACTACACCTGGATAATTTTTTTTCAAAATGTTTTTGGTCGGGCGCGATGGCTCACACCTGTAATTTCAGCATTTTGGGAGGCTGAGGCAGGTGGATCATGAGCTCAGGAGTTTAAGACCATCCTGGCCAACTTGGTGAAATTTGGTTTCTACTAAAAATACAAAAATTAGCCAGGCATGGTAATGCACACCTATACTCCTAGCTACTCAGGAGGCTGAGACAGTAGAATCACTTGAACCCAGGAGGCAGAGTTTGCAGTGAGCTGAGATGGTGCCACTGCACTCCAGCTTGGGCAAGAGAGAGAGACTCCATCTCAAAAAAAAAAAAAAAAAAAACTGGTACAGAGGTAGCTCCTACTGCCAAGGTGCCTTTTCCAACCCCATGTGCCCCTGTGATAAGGTGGCACACAAATCAACCCGCCCCAGAAAAGCTCAGGGAGAGCAAATCTTGGTGGGGTCAGATTGGAGATGAGGTTGGAATGAATCAGTTCATTACTTCACTTGACACCTAAACAGTGTCTTTTCACCAAAACCTCTACCTCTTTCAGGTTGGTAAATCAGGTTTCTTCCTCCCTGGGTTGGCCAGAGAGGGCTGAGCTGGGTGACAGGCCAGGGCACACAGGCCAGCAGAGGTCAGAGGCCCTTGCTCTCCTCTGGCAGGGGCTGCTCATGGCTGGACTCTGCCCACAAAGGAATTAGTGGTAGATGGATAATGGGGCAGGATTTTGTGCAAAGCTTGGGGATACAGATGGGTACAGTCACCCCTGGCTACAAATCATTTAACACCAGGTGTTCCTGGCCTAGTCCCCTCTGCCCATGATGGCACAGATGCAAGGTCTGTATGTCTTGGGACTCTCCTCATTGGATTCTGAGCTGACCTGGTCTGTCACGTGGCCGCTTTGTCAGACTCATGTGGTATGTGAGTTTTGCTGATCCTGGGCTAGTCTAACCCCATCCAGGTCAGGGCTGGGTATTATCAGAGGAAGGAGCAAATTTCTACAGAACCTGGCTGAGACACCAGCAAAGGCCTCAGGAGTGACAGGGAAAGTCAGCAGTCAGCTGAACCCTGGGGTCTCTGTGTGACCCTGGACAGGCTACTTAGCACCTCTCTGGCCTCAGTGTCCCAAACTACAAAAGTCTGGGAAAGTAAAGAATTCTTCTAGTTCAAAGCTGGGCATGGTGGCTCACGCCTGTAACCCCAGCACGTTGGGAGGCTGAGGGGGGTGGATCACAAGGTCAGGAGGTTGAGACCAGCCTGGCCCATATGGTGAAAACCAGTCTCTACTAAAAATACAAAAATTAGCCAGGCACGGTGGTGTGCACCTGTAGTTTAAGTTACTCGGGTGGCTGAGGCAGAAGAATTACTTGAATCCAGGAGGTAGGGGGTGCATTGAGCCCAGATCGCACCATTGCACTCCATCCTGGGTGATGAAGCAACACTCTGTCTCAAAAATAAATAAATAAATAAAATTCTTCTTCCAGTTCAAAACTGTGATGCGGCCCTCCTGGCAGGGTCTAGGGGGGCTAAAAAGGCCTGAGCCACCGGGCTGTCTCAGTGGGTCCAAGGAAGACTGGAGGGAGCTCTCAGAACCTTCCTATTCAAAATTCAGGAACTGCCTGTTGGCTGATGGTGGACACACCCCTTGGTTTGGAGTGAAAGGCAGGCCTGACTGCCTCTTCCTGACCAGCCTGTCCTCTTCAAGCAAGGGGCTTCTCCCATCACTTATGAGGTGAAATGAGTCAATGGAGAAGACAGTACTTTGTAAACCATAAAATGCAATAGAAGCAAGATCTAAAATAAAGCCTGCTTTTACTTCTCTCCTTCCAATCATCCTTTCTCTCCAACTCCAGAAAACCTGAATGCTACGGACCACCGTTTTCAAAGTCAAATGACCACAGGAGCTCAGCAAGTCATATAAATGAGTGAGAAATGACAGATGGAAAGGTCTGTTTTGATAGACACATGGGTTCAAAAAATACTTCCCTTTCTTCTTTGTTTTGTACTTTAAGATAAACACCAAAAATACTAAAACCAAGCCATGATGAATAGCGAGGGATGCTGGGTCAAGAGCCCATGGGAGTGGCAGGGATGAGTGGCCAGGCCACGGTGAATTGTGAGTTCTGGCTCCAGCTCAGCTCCCAACAAATGTGGTTTTGTGGGAGCCTAGGTGGAATTGCCAAATCTTTAGATTTTTCAAAACATGCCAGAAAACCTGTATTTGGGTGTGACATATTCTTTTCAATCTTCACCACTGATTCATATCACTTAAAAACACTGCCTGGGCTCAAATCAGTAAATATGGCAATTGCCGGCCAGATCCAGTACAGGGCAAGGGGATTTTAATTTGTGCAGTAAAAAGATAATGGAGGTGGCAGGCACCTGTAATTCCATAGGCTGAGGCAGGAGAATCGCTTGAACTGAGAAGATGGAGGTTGCAGTGAGCTGCGATCAGGCCATTGCACACCCGGGGCAACAAGAGCAAAATCCACGTCTCAAAAAAAAAAAAAAAGGAAAAGAAAAAGACAACGGAAGGCAGGCATGATGGCTCAGGCCTGCAATCCCAGCACTTTGGGAGGCTGAGGCAGCAGGATCGCTTCAGCCTAGGAGACCATCCTAGGCAACAGTGAGAACCTCATCTCTACATAAAATTTAAAAATTAGCTGGGCGTAGTGTTGCCCACCTGTAGTCTCAGGTATCTGGAAGGCTGACAGGAGAGGATTCCTTAAGCACAGCAGATTGAGGTTGCAGAGAGCCCTGTTCACACCGCTGCATTCCAACCTGGGCAACAGAGCAGGAAGCTGTCTCAAAAATAAATAAATAAATATAAAAAGTGGTATTGTGTTCTGGAAGGGTCAAAAGAATAAAAAATAATAATAAAAGAAATTTTAAAAAAATGGGTAAAACAAAGTTCTTCTCTACCTCAATCCTGTTAGCATCTCTGGGCTGAGAAACAGCTTTTGCTTCCCCTTATGGGAATCTGGGGGGGTTCTCACCTCAGCCCTGTCTCAGCAAAGGGGGCCTTTGAGAGCGTGGGTCGGGGGGAGCAAGATGCTGGCAGAGGAGTCTGCTGAAGGCCCAAGATGAGGCTGTCTGCACCCCAGAGCCAGCTCTTGCCAGGGATTCTGGGACTTCCCTGAAGGCTGCTGCAGAGGTTCAGGCCCCTGAGCCCATCTCAGGCCTCCTGCAGTGTCTAGATAGTCACTTTTGAGGCCATCACCCACACTCCTGGAATATCTCTGGGTACAGCTGGAAGCCGACGGGCGGGTCCAGGTCCCCACGGCCAGCAGTCAGCGTCAGAGACAGCCCCCCAGCGCCCCGGCCCCTGTGACCTCCCGCCCCAGGCCGATGGACCCACTGATGCTTGGCCACAGCTGACTTCTGGCCAAAGCGGCGGCCGCACTGCGGGCAGGGGTAGGGCTTCTCGCCGCTGTGGGTGCGCCTGTGGGCCGCCATCTCTGAGCTCTGGCGAAAGCAGCGTCCGCAGTCCGGGCATGGGTAGGGCTTCTCGCCGGTATGGGTGCGCACATGGCGCCGCAGGTCCGAGGGGTAGGCAAAGGCACGGCCGCAGTCCAGGCAGGGGAAAGGGGTCTCACCGCTGTGCACGCGCCGGTGCTGGTACAAGGCAGAGCTCTGGCTGAAGCGGCGGCCGCAGTCAGCGCAGCCATAGGGCTTCTCGCCAGTGTGGACACGCAGATGTGAAGTCAGCGCAGAGCGCTGTGTGAAGGCCCGGCCACACTCGGGACAGCAGTGGGGCCGCTCCCCGCGATGGATGGCCCGGTGTTTGCTCAGGGAGGAAGCGTGGCCGAAGCCCTTGCCGCAATCCACGCAGTGGAAGGGCTTCTCGCCCGTGTGGCTGTATACGTGCTCCACCAGCGTGGAGCGCCAGGCAAAGCTCTTCCCGCACACGTAGCAGCCATGACGCTGGTCCGCTCGCGGAACAGGGGGGTGGGCACAGAGCGAGGGGCGTCCCCGGCACGGTGCCTTGGACCTCAGCTCCCAACCATAAGGGGACCCGGCCGACGGGGCTTGGGGAGCCTTCAGCCCAAGAGGCCCTGTGGCCACAGGGAGGGGCTTCTCCAGGGCTCCTATCCCTTCCCCTGGTCTTTTCTCTTCCTTGTTTCTGGAATCTGCTGGGAGATAAAGAGGGGAGAGTTCAGCCATGGCTCATCCTGATCCTTGAATCCCACACTCTGAGTGGGCAGGAACAGGCCCGCTGGACCCACAGCTACCCCAGGAGATGAAGGAGTGACACGTATTGTGTTCCTCGGCTGCAAAGCCAGACAGAGCCGGGAGGGAGGGAAGAGTCCATTCCGCCTTGGGGCTGGGGAAATGTCACTGCGGGGGAAGGGCAGAGAGAACATGAACATCCGGGCCTGATCCCGAAGGAGAAGCAGACACCTGAGGATGTTCCGGGCAACAGGAACAGCACCAAGAAAGGCAGAACCAGGCAGGCACGGCCAAGTTTAGTGGGGCTGGACACTCTGCAAAGGCTGAGGGCAAGAAATGAAGGAAAAAAAATGCGGCGGGCAGGTGGTGGTGTGGGGGAGGAGAGGAACCAGTTTGCAGGAGGACCGGACTGGTGGGTCCTGATGTGGAGGTAGAGCTTAGAGGCTGGGCGTGGGGGCTCGTGGTGGTAGAGAAGGTGGATCGCTTGACCCTAGGAGTTCGAGACTAGCCTGGGCAACATACCAAGACCCAAGATCCCCTTCTCTAATATACATATATATAGCAATTTTAAGAATTAAAAAAAAATTAGGCCGGTTGCGGTGGGTCACACCTGTAATTCTACCACTATGGGAAGTCGAGGGGGTTGGACAGCTTGAGCCCAGGAGTTCAAGACCAGCCTGAGCAACATAGCGAAACCCCATCTCTACTAAAAATACAAAAAATTAGCCAGACATGGTGCTGGGCACCTGTAATCCCAGTTACTCGGGAAGCTGAGGCAGGAGAATTGCTTGTACCTGGGAGGAGGAGGTTGTAGTGAGCTGAGATCGTGTCATTTCACTCCAGCCTGAGTAACAGAAAAACTCTGTCAAAAATACAACAATTACCCAGGCTTTGTGGCGAGCGCCTGTACAGTCTTAGCTACTCTGGAGGCCCTCGAAGGAGGACTGCTTGAGCCCCGGAGTTCGAGGCTGCAGTGAGCTATGATGGTGCCAGTGCACTCAGCCTGGGCAAGAGCAAGACCATCTCTAAAACAAAAACACCAAAAAAAGCCCCCAGAGTATAGTGACCACGCAGAGGTGAGGACTCAGAGGCGAGTAAGGCAGGGCCAAGCTCCCATCACAGCCCTTTTCTAGGTAGCAGCCGGGAGCCAGGCAGGGCTCAGCCTCGTGGTCGCAGTTGAGAAAGCAGTTCATGCCTGCTCCCAAGGCATGAGAGAAAAAAAAGGAGAAAGTTCAGAGATGAAACTGCTAAGCAGGTAGCTCGAGGTGGCAGAGGGTAACGGGATGGGACAGGAACAGAGAAGTCCCCACGGGACTGAGCACCCGATACTCCACCTGGGTCCGCTTCTGTCGGACGCTTCGCCACCTCCGGATCCTGGGCAGCCGGACCCCACAATTCAGCCTCCTCCTCCACCCAGGAGATGAGCGCCGGCTTGCTGCCTTCGACTCCTGGGGGAGAAGAACGCAAATCCCACGCTGCGGGGAGGCCGCCTGCCCGGCCGCGGGGCCCCCCACTCCACGCGCAGCTCCCTGAGGCGCGGCAGGGCCTGTGGGGGCGCAGGGCCCCGGCGAGCAGGTGGGACTCTCACCGAGCGCGCCCAGGTGGCTGTAGGTCTCCCGCATCACGTCCCGGTACAGGGCCCTCTGCGCAGGCCGCAAACAGCCCCACTCCTCCCGGGAGAAGTACACGGCCACGTCCCCGAAGGTCACGGGCCCGGGCTCCCTCCACTCGGACCCGGCCCCGTTTGGGTCCTGGGAGTAGAGCGTGGCCAGAGGCGGCGCCATGGGGACTATCAGTCCCGAGGACAAGTCGGCTGCCTCCCCTGGCCCCGGCTGGGCCTGTGGAACCTTCCGCGCCCGAGAATACCTCCCCGGACTGGGCCCAAGGGAAGGAGGGAGGTCACTAGAGCCCCCGAGGGCGCACTAGAGGGGATGGAAACTAGTGGTCGCGAAGGCAGCTGGTGCACAATCAGAAATGGAAGATACCCTTATAAAAAATGGCGGCAGTGCAGCCACGCAACCTTTGCCCCTGCGCAATCGTGCCCACGACAACGCCCTCAGTGTCTCCGGGACACGTTCTCTCCGTACCCTCATTCAAAATGGCCGCGGTGGCTACAGGCGCCGGCCTTAAACCAGCCGCGCATGCTTCGGCCCCGGCCCAGCGAGGCGGTGCACCTGAGAGCTCCGCCCCGGTTTGCACCAGAGGCAGCTGGCCTCTTGCTTGGCCTTAGTGAACTCAGGTATTAGTTTTCGTCTTTGCACTGTTTTATAAACGGACTCCAGCCCATCACTCTCTCGTTTTGTCCTTGTTATTTCAGAAACAGGGCGACAGCGGTCTCTTCCCAATGTTGAGTGTAAAAACCAATGAAGTGGGCCGGGCGCGGTGGCTCACGCCTGTAATCCCAGCAGTTTGGGAGGCTGAGGCCAGCGGATCACCTGAGATCAGGAGTTCGAGAGCAGCCTCACCAACACGGCGAAACCCCGTCTCTACTTAAAGTACAAAAAATTAGCCAGGTGTGGTGGCGCGCGCCTGTATCCCAGCTGCTGAGGCAAGAGAATCGCTTGAAAGCAGAAGGCAGAGGTTGCAGTGAACCGAGATTGTGCCACTGCACTCCAGCTTGGGCGACACAGCGAAACACCGTCTCAAAAAAAAAAAAAAAAAAAAACGAAGAAAGAAAAGAAAATCTGGCTAAGGCAGTAAAATTTTCGAGGGAAGTCACTAGGCTACATACGGGAGCGGTCAAACAGGGGGAAGATAGGCATTACTTTGTTACGTTTGTTTATTCTGGTCCCTTGTGGCCTCTCTGGGCTATATTCTCATCCTGGTACGGAAGGATACTTCCCCAGAGTAATGTTTCTGGCATGCTGCATGCAAAAGAAACAGGTCAGCTTGCTCCTTGTGAAACTACAATTTCTCTAACTTTTTTTTTTAACTCGGAATAATCAGTATACCAGGCTGTGAACGTTTTGCAGGAGGTCCTGGGAGCTCTCTGGAGGATCCTGTTGGGAACTTCAGGGAGGCTGATCTGGCAGGGTTCTCAGGAAGCGGGTCAACCTGCCGCATAAGTGAAGAGAGCCACTTCTTTCCCTTTTCAGGGATCCGGATGGGACGGGCGCAGCTGAGCGCGTCCAGGTGACCGCAAGTCGCGGCATCGCGCTCGGATCAAGACGTGTACACCCGTATACCGCAGACACCCACTCTGCACCAGGAAGCGGCAGTCGACCATGTCCGCGGAGCTCTCGGCCCGCGGGCTCTTTACCTGCCTCAGTCCCTCTCGCCTTCCCGAGTTCATTGGACTGGAACTGGCTCCGCGGCTTCTGGAGGGACGCTGGGGATTCGCCCTGGGAGTGGAGTGCAGGACTTTCAACCGACGCCTTGGCGACCGGAAGTAGCTTTGGGTGGGGCCGCTCTAGGGCGGCGAGCATCTCTGTGGTGCCGCAGTCCGGAAAAAAGGAGGCGCCCTCAGAAAAGATGGCGACAGTCCAGCTTCTCTTCATTTTAGAGAAAGGCACTGAACAGCTTGCATTTCGATCAATGTTGGTGACCTGGTTTGTTCCTCCTGGAAACGTCTTCTCTTGCTGTTCCTCCCAGGCAGCCTCGGCAGCGTCTCTTTCCCGTAGTTAAGATGGCTGCGGCCGCTTCGACCTTGCTCCAGCAGGTGGAAGCAAGGGCCGCGGGGGATGGGAAACCAGTCCAGGATTCTCGACCGAGGGCCTGACGTCCCCTTCCCAGTTCCTTCGAGGAGGACCACTTAGTGACCGAGGCTTTTTTTTTTTTTTTGAGACAGTTTCGCTTTTGAAGTACAATGGTGAGATTTTGTCTCACTGCAACCTCAGCCTCCCGGGTTCAAGCGATAATCCTGCCTCAGCCTCCCTAGTAGCTGGTATTACAGGCGCCTGCCACCATGCGGCTGGCTAATTTTTTGTATCTTTAGTAGAGATGGGAGTTTCACCATGTTAGCCAGGCTGGTCTCGAACTTCTGACCTCAGGTGATCTGCCCGCCTCGGCCTCCCAAAGTGCTAGGATAACAGGTGTGAGCCACCGTGCTTGGACTCTAGTCTCTACTCTTGAGAGGGTAGAGTAGAGGACTCTTGTCCCCCAGTCTGGAGTGCAATGGCACAATCTCAGCTCATTGACTCCAGAACCCAGACTGGAATCCCTCAGATTATTGAAGGCAAAACCTCAGCAACCAGAAAGCGGTGGGATTTTAGGCTAGGTTACCACACTGCCATATAAATGTAAAGAGGAAAAATACACAATTTGGTAGGCCGATGCAGGCAGATCACTTGAGGTCAGGAGTTTGAGACCTGCCTGACCAACGTGGTAAAACCCTGTCTCTACTAAAAATACAAAAATTAGCCACGGCAGGTGACTCATGCCTGTAATCCGAGCACTTTGGGAGGCCGAGGGGGGCGGATCACCTGAGGTCGGGAGTTTGAGACCAGCCTGACCAACATGGAGAAACCCCATCTCTACTAAAAATATAAAAGCTGGCGTAGTGGTGCTTGCCTGTAGTCTCAGCTGCTCCAGAGGCTGAGAGGCAGGAGAATCGCTTGAATCTGGGAGGTTGCAGTGAGCTGAGATCATGCCATTGCGCTCTGTCTCGAAAATAAATAAATAAATGAAATCACAAAATGAAAATACAAAAATTAGCTGGGCATGGTGGTGTGCGCCTGTAGTTCCAAATAGTCAGGAGGCTGAGGCAGGAGAATCTCTTGAACCCGGGAGGTCGAGGTTGCGGTGAGCTGAGATCGCGCCACTGCACTCCAGCCTGGGTGACAGAGTGAGACTCCATCTCAAATAATAATAATAATAAATAAATTTAAAGAGGAAAAATATAAATGGCAAACTATGATAAGTACTAAAGTAAGACAATTGTTTAGAGGCCATGTAATGGGGGATCGTTCAGGTATCTAGGAAGTATGTAAAATTGCCCAGGATGGGTGACAGAATGCTTCACAAAGGGTCCCCTGTAGCAACTGTCACCACTGTCCCCTCTTACTCAGGCCCTTATTCAGTTAGGCCTGAGGCCTCCTAGCTGGCCCCTGGGCTTCCAGCCTTTTGCCTTTGCCATCCATCTGGCACTGCAGCCTGGTGTACTGAAAACAGGAAGGGCCTGGGAAATAGAAATTTGGGATCCAGGCCTACCTCTGCCACTGAGTTGGTTTCATGATCTTAGTGATGTCCCCTCCTCTCTCTGGCCTCAGTATTCTCAGAGTGTATTCTGTAGAACAGCATTCCCATGAGACCCTCCATGGGGTAAGAAAACAAACAAACAAACAGCTTTCTCCATTTCCCTTGAGAGTCCCCTTTGGCAAATTGAAGGTTCAGGGCAGCCTTCAATACAGAAATGATTCCGCTCATTGCAGTGAGCCGAGATCATGCCACTGCACTTCAGCCTGGGTGACTGAAGTGCAGCCTGAGTGAGACTGTCACAATAAAGAGAGAGAAAAAAAATTAAAAACAGAAAGAAAAGAAACAGCATCATGGGAATGAGAGAGCCTTGTGGCAGCTCCTCCCCCTCCCCAGCCCATCTGTCAATCTTCTCCATTTGATTGATGCCTTTCCGCATCTCGCCAGAACTCATTCCTAGCTTGGAGCATCTCACTTGCTGTTCCCTCTGTTTGGAAACATCTCTACCCGCGACTCTCCCTGACCACAGCCCCAAGGGAACGCTGCCTTTCCCCACTCCCTGTCCCCTAACCCTGTTCCCTATGGCACCTCCTCACCGTGGCGCAGCCTCAGCTTCCAACTGCAGCAGGCCCTTTGTGCACATCACTGTTGGGGCTCCTTCATAAGCCTTATTATTTGCATTTGCAGTTCCTTGCTTCCTTCGTGTTCTGGTTTATCGCTTGTCTCTACCTCCTAGAAAGTAAGCTCCAAGAGGGTTCCTGTGTCTCTTTCTCCTGCTATGTTCTGGAATGGAGAATAACAGCTAGTGCATGGTAAACGCTTAGCAGCTATTTGTTAAATGCACCAATGAGAAAGAGAAATAGCAGAAAGCACTTGCCCTGTGCCCAGCACCAGCTCTGGGGTTGCCCAGAGCAGCTGTGTGCTTGATACAATTAACCTGGTTCTGCTCCTCCCTCCCTGGCAGGGTCTCCTCCACCAGCTGTGCCTTCTCTTTGGCCTTACTATTTCCCAGGATGGGTCACCCTTGTCCTGCACACCCTTCTACTCCTGATCACCCCTTGCTGGGCACTGGGGCCCCTGGCTCCGGCTTTCCATGCTGGATCTTCTGGGTCTTACTGGCTCATGTTGTCAGTCACCAAGCTGCAGATTCTATGGCAGAAGCCTCTCATGAGTGTCTTTCTTCCTTTTTTTTGTTGGGTGGGGGTATGCCTTTATCAGCAGAGTGTCTTTCTTCCTAATTCCAAGGTCACTACCTTGGTCCCAGCTCCTGATGACCCTCACTTGGGAAAAGATGTCCAATAGATCTCTAGTGTCTAGCCCTGTCCCCCAGTCAGGTCACACCCACACTGATTTGCAAAGAGATCTTCTGATAATAGCTAGCAAACAGCACTGCACTTGCTCAAGAACTTTCTGTGGCTCCTCAGTGCTATGGAATGGATCTCAAGCTCCTCTGCTGAAACCTGTGGCCCTCCCAGATTGGACACCACTTCTCGGCTGCATCTGTCTCCCATTCTTCCTTGTCTAGTTTTGTTGTTGTTATTGTTTCTGAGATGGAGTCTCATTCTGTTGCCCAGGCTAGAGTACAATGGCACTATGTTGGCTCACTGCAACCTCCGCCTCCCAGGTTCAAGCAATTCTTCTGCCTCAGCCTCCTGAGTAGCTGGGATTACAGGGGCCCACCACCACACCCAGCTAATTTTTGTATTTTTAGTAGAGACGAGTTTCGCCATGTCGGCTGGGCTGGTCTTGAACTCCTGACCTCAAGTGATCCACTTGCCTCAGCCTCCGAAAGTGTCTCATGTTCTTTCTATGAAGCAAGACTCCTTTGCTGTCTCCTCTGCCTGAAAATCTCTCCCAACACCAATTCCTACTGAAGACTACGAGAAGCACAGCCATCTCCTCCTCCCAGCAGCATTTCCTGGCATAGCCAACCAGCCTGGGTAAGGTGGTGCCTCTGGGCTTCCTCTGTCACAGCATCAATTACCCTCTCCCCACATCAAATGTGGGCCCTGAGTCAGCTGTATCATTGGAGCCTAGCACAGAAACCCACAGAGGCCTCAACGGGGTGTTTGCTGAATGAATGAATGAATGAGATCAGGTTTCCTCATCTTGGAATTCCCTTGTTACCTGGCACAGTCCCTTCAACAGAAGGCACTCATCACACAGTCACTAAAGGCTAATTGTACCTTCTCATTTGTTTTGAGACAGAGTCTCAATTTGTCGCCCAGGTTGGAGTGTAGTGGCGCAATCATAGGTAACTGCAGCCTCAGTCTCCCTGGCTCAGGTGATCCTCCCACCATAGCAACGCAAGTAGCTGAGACTACAGGCACACATCACCACACCTGGCTGATTTTCATTTTTGTAGACATGGGGGGGCCTCACTATGTTGCCCAGGCTGGTCTCAAACACCTGAGCTCAAGAGATCCTTCCATCTCAGCCTTCCAAAGTGTTGGAATTACAGGTGTGAGCCACCATGTCCAGCCTGACTATGCCTTCTAAGTAAAAACAGGCCAGGCAAGGTGCCTTACGTCTGTAATCCCAGCACTTTGGAAGGCCAAGGTCAGAGGATCGCTTGAGCCCAGAAGGTAGAGGCTGCAGAGAGCCATGTTCACGGCACTGCACTCCACCCTAGGTGCCAGAGTGATACTCTATCTCAAAAAGAAAAGAAAAAAGAAGAGAAATAAAAGAGAAAAGGAAATAAATAAGAATAGAGGCATTTCCTAGACTCTCAGTGTTCTGCTCACACTCCCCATACCAGGCTGGGCCGGGCCCTACATCCTGAGTTCCCAGCCTGTTTTCTGTCCAGATCTGACTTCTCAGAGGAGGTGGTAGAGACATCTGGGGTGTGTGTTCGTTTCCAATCATACTGCTCTATGGCCGTGAAATCTTGAGAGCATCACATCATCTCCCTGAGCCTCAGTTTACTTATCTGCAAACATGGTTATTTATTTATTTATTTTTTAAAGATAGGGTTTCACCATGATGGCCAGGCTGGTCTTGAACTCCTGACCTCAGGTGACCCACCCACCTTGGCCTTCCAAAGTGCTAGGATTACAGGCGTGAGCCACTGCGCCCAGCCAAACATGGTTATTAATATCCATGCCCTGCCTCCCTGGCAGGCTTCCTTACACTTTCTAAAGTGTAGACTGTCCACAGTAATTCAACAAATGATTGTTGCACATTTACTATGTCATACATCTTGTTAAAATGTCAGTCTACACAGTAACACTCTTGAGGTAGATATTATTCATCCTCATTTTACAGAGGAGGGTACTGAGGCTCAGGGAGGTCACATGACTTACCAGCTGTGCCTGGGGAAGTTCCAGAGACTAGGTTGTGTTTTTTCTTTTTTGAGACAGAGGTGTGCTCAACTGCCCAGGCTTGAGTACATTGGCACGATCTTGGCTTACTACAACCACCATCTCCTGGGTTCAAGCGATTCTCCCATCTCAACCTCCCAAGTAACTGGGATTACAGGCACCTGCCACCATGCCCAGCTAATTTTTGTATTTTAGTAGAGACAGGGTTTCACCATGTTGGCCAGGCTGGTCTTGATCTCCTGACCTCAAGTGATCCACCTGCCTAGGATTACAGGTGTGAGCCACTGCAACTGGCCTTTTTTTTTTTAAGAAATGGAGTCTTGGCCAGGTGCAGTGGCTCATGCCTGTAACCCCAGCACATTGGGAGGCCAAGGCATGTGGCTCACCTGAGGTCAGGAGTTTGAGACCAGCCTAGTTAACACGTGAAACCCCGTCTCTACTAAAAATGCAAAAATTAGCCAGGCATGGTGGCTCATGCCTGTAATCCCAGCTACTCAGGGGGCTGAGGCAGGAGAAGTGCGTGAACCTGGAAGGCACAGGTTGCAGTAAGCCAAGACGGTGCCACTGTACTCCACCTTGGGTGACAGAGTGAGACCCTGTCTCAAAAAAAAAAAAAGAAGAAAGAAAGAAAGAAAGAAAGAAAGAAAGAAAGAAAGAAAGAAAGAAATGGAGTCTTGGTCTGTTGCCCAGGCTGTAGTACAGTAGCACAATCATAGCCCACTGTAGCCTGGAACTCCTGTGCTCAAGCCCTCCTCCCGCCTCAGCCTCCCAAGTAGCTGGGATCACAGGTATGACATGCCACTATGCCTGGTTAATTTTTTTCCTCTAGAGATAGCATTTCACTATGTTGCTCAGGCTGGTCTGGACTCCTGCCTCAAGCAATCCTCCCGCCTTGGCCTCTCAACAGAGGCTGGATTTGTGCCACCTGCATCTATTCTATTCCCATCCACTCCAGTGTCTGAGCCCCCTTCGGGTGACAATTAGCCAGGGTTTGACAACACCCTCCATGTAGGTACCCTCCCCAGGCCTTGGTCCCCCTCAGCATCTGCATCTGAAGGAGTGAAGGAGTGGCTAGTTCCTGAGATGATGGAAAGGTCTCTGTTGGACCTGATCAGATAACACTTTGAAATGAGTCCAGGATCTCACTCTGTTCTTTTTTTTTTTTTTTTTTTTAACAGAAGACTGGGGAGAGAGGTGTCAAGTTTAATCTATTTGAATCTTACAGGCACTTTTCTTTTTACAAGTTGGAAACTTGAGGGATCCTTGAGGCATGAATTTCAGTTCCGGAGTCCCAGACTCAGGAGCCCACCTCAGGGCTCAGTCAGTCCTTCGTGCCAATGTCAGTCTGCGGTGCCGCTCAGCCGCACTCCTCGAAGATGTCTGGGTAGTGCCGGAAGAGCACAGGCGGGTCCCGGTCACCTCGGACTGGGGCCCGAGGCACAGCCCGGATCCCAGGCCTCCGGCCCCGCCGCCCCCCGGAGCAGGAGCGGTGGATCCACTGATGCGCTTCCACAGCGAATTTCCTCTTGAAGCGCATGCCACACTCAGGGCAGGGGAAGGGCCGCTCCCCCGAATGCATGCGCCTGTGGCTGACCAGCAGCGAGGGGTAGGTGAAGCGGCGGCCACAGTCCGTGCACACGTGGCGCCGCTGACCGGCCTGAGCATCCACGCTGGGCACGGGTGCAGGGGGCTGTGCTCCTGTGGACTGGTCCCAGGCAGCACTTGTGGGTGGCTGTGCCCATGCCGAGGCCACGCTAATAGCCAGGTCAGGGTTTCGTCCCACCAGCACTTCCAGATTCTCCATAGGAGCCTTTCTAGGCCCTTTGGATTTTGGACCTTCCTCGGGTTCCTCTTCCTTCGTGTTTGGGGCATCTCCTGGGAAACCGGAATTAAGGTACATTTACAAACACTTTCGAATAGACTGTCTTAGGTTATAGAATGCTTTTCACATAAGGCAGTGCCAGAGAAGTTCCATCCAGTGATTAACACACAGGCTTTGGAACAAGGTAAACAGGATTCTGACCTCCTAAGAGTGACTTATCGGGGCCTTGGTTCCTGATGCATCAAATAGGAATAATAATGGCTTTTCACTTCACAGCTTTGCTGGATTAGCTGAGTAGAGATGTATGTTAAGCACTTAGTAAGTGCTCAGGAAGCAGGGGTTTTATTATTATTTCATTTTTGAGACAGAGTCTCACTCTGTCACCCAGGCTGGAGTGCAGTGGCAGGATCTGGACTCTGCAGCCTCTGCCTCCCAGTTTCAAGGGATTCTCCTGCCTCAGCCTCGCAAGTAGCTGGGATTACAGGTGCCTGCCACCATGCCCGGCTAATTTTTGTATTTTTAGTAGAGATGGGGTTTCGTTACATAAGCCATGCTGGTCTCAAACTCCTGACCTCAGCCTCCCAAAATGCTTGAATTACAGGCATGAGCCACCGTGCTCGGCCAAGCAGGGACTATCATTAGTGTGGTTTCTCCATTTTTTGTAAGGTAAGAGACTCTTTTACAGATGAGGAAACATATTTGCTCAAGATCACTCCACTGGGGGATGGTGAAGGGAGAAAAGCCAACTTGTCAATGACTGGGCTTTTTTTCTTGTGCCACTTTACCTCACTTGAGGAATGTGAAAGGCAGACCTGAAGGCATTTTCATTCTTAAGGAGTTTTAGTTATTCCTGAAAGAGAGAGAATGAGGTAGCCAAGCACAGAGGCTGATGCCTTTCACCCCAGCCTGGCCAACATGGGAAAACCTCGTCTCTACTATAAATACAAAAATTAGCAAAGCATGGTGGTGTGTGCCTGTCATTCCAGCTACCCGGGAGGCTGAGGTGGGAGAATCATTCAAACCTGGGAGGTGGCGGTTACAGTGAACTGAGATCGCAGTACTGCATTCCAGCCAGGGCAACAGAGGGAGACTCCCTATATATATATATAAAAAAAAAAAAAAAAAAAAAAAGGCTGGCGAGGTGGATCATGCCTGTAATCCCAGAACTTTGGGAGGCCGAGGAGGGGTGGATTACCTGAGGTCAGGAGTTTGAGACCAGCCTGGCAAACATGGAGAAACCCCACCTCTACTAAAAATACAATATTAGCCAAGTGTGGTGGTGCATGCCTATAATCCCAGCCACTTGGGAGGCTAGGCAGGAGAATCACTTGAACCTGAAAGGCAAAGGCTGCAGTGAGCTGAGATCGCACCATTGTACTCCAGCCTCGGCAACAAGAGCAAAACTCTGTCTCAAAAAAAAAAAAAAAAAAAAAAAAAAGAGAATGAGAGGAACCTGGAAGCTCAAGCATGTTGGACTGGGCTCCCGGTCCCCACAGGACCGCTGTCCTATGTTCTGAAAACTTTTTACCAGTTCTGCCTTGTTTACTCTTCTAGTATTCAACAGTTGAATTTCTTTAGGGATGCTGGAAGTGGGAGCCTGAAAGGAAACTGCTAGACAGGAAGCCCTGGAAAACCAAGTTTGGGGAGGGGGGGACCCGGAACCATCCCTCACCTCTCCGAGCTCCTCCCAGGCTTTCCCCATTCTCAGGATCCTGGGCGGCGGAGCTCCACGCCTCACTCTCCTGTTCCATCCAAGAGATGAGGGCTGGTTTGGGGCCTGGGAATCCTGGGAGAGAACAGGGATCACAGCGCGGGCCTGAGAAGCCATCGTGGGAAGATGGCAGTCCCCTCCAGGCTGAGAGCACCTCCTCGGAGCTTATACTCAACCTGGACGGGGATGCAGTGCTGCTGCCTGAATGAAGTGGATGCGGGTGAAAACACTCCCGAGGGGGTACCTGAAGCCCTGGGAATGGGAGATGGCTGCTGGCGCTGGTGCAAGAGTGCGGGATTAGGGCTCACAGTCCTCTCGGTCCTTCTACATCATCTCCCCTGTGAACCCGGTGAAGGAGGAGAGGGGCTCGGACCCGGGGCTCTCACCGAGCGCGCCCAGGTGGCCGTAGGTCTCCCGCATCACGTCCCGGTATAGGGCCCTCTGCGCCGGCCGCAGACAGCCCCACTCCTCCGGGGAGAAGTACACGGCCACGTCCGCGAAGCTCACGGCCCCGGGCTTCCTGCAACCAGGCCTGGTCTCCCCGGGCCTCCGCGCCAGGAGCGGGGCTGGGGGCGGCGCCATGGGGCCTCGCAGCCCCGATCGGCGGCCGCCAGTTCCCTGGGGCCGCCGCCTCCCCGCTCCAGGCTTCAGCTGTTGTCCACAGGAAGGGCTGCCCCGCCCAGCCGTGGCGTCCGAACGTAGCCTAGGCAACCGAAGTATCAGAAACTGGCTGCTAGGGATTCGGGATTCTGATAGGGACAAACAGAACTCCTCAGTGTTTATTCACTTGATGGCCGCTTGGACATAGACACCCAGGTTAAGAGACCCCGGAAGGTGCCTTCAGAAAATATGGCGCCCACCTAGGTTCAATTGTCACGGGCTGCTCTTAAGGGCGCCATTCTTTGACCGTATCAAATATGGCGCCTTTCTGACTTCTCTGGCCTCAACGTCCCTCTTGCCCTTAAATAAAGCCGCTTCGGATGCTTTTTCTGGTGAGAGACGCGGGGTGACGGGGAAGTAGAGGCGAGAGGCTTATTGCCTTCAAGAAAGATGGATGGGCCGGAAACTTCACATATCCCTCTTTACCCGCAATATGCAACGGCCGAAGATTGGCCGGTACCCCGGAAAAAGGTGAGCGGTGATTGGCCTGGGATTGGCGGGGCATTTGAAGGGACCCCGCGGTCCTGAAACCTCTTGAAGTACTGGAGCGCAGCGGGGACCTCGGCATCTATGGTGCTCGGGATTGTGTCCCCGACGGTCTCTTGCGGTCCCTCCCGTAGGCCGCATCTGGAATCTGATCCCCAGACCCCTTGGGAAGACGCACACAGCCTGGCAAACCATGTGTACACTCGCGGTAGAAGCAGGTGCGTGTTTTACAGTAGGAGCTTAGCTACTGAGTCCACCCGGCCCCTGGCATCCGCACCTCTGCTTGCTCAGGCTCTAGACCGAAGCTGCAGGCGAAGGAACGTGCTTGGTGAGGATGGAATCGGAATGGGGAAATTTTAAACTACATTGTAATTTTTGCCAAATTAATTAACATACATGGATTTTTTGTTTTGTTTTGAGACCGGGTCTTGCTTGTGGCCCAGGCTGGAGTGCAGTAGTGCGATCCTAGCTCACTGCAGACTCGACGTCGCGGGCTCAAGCGGTCTTCTCACCTCAGCCTCCCGAGAAGATGGGACCACAGGCGCACACCCCATACTTGGCTAATTTTTAAATTTTTGACACAGAGAAAGGCTCTTGTTATGTTGCCCAGGCTGGTCTGGAACTCCGGGCCTCAAGCAATCCTCCTGCCTCGGCCTCTCAAAGTGCTGTGATCACAGGCAGGAGCCACTGTTGTCTGTCATTTCTACTTCTTTACGGTTGTTCCAAATTACCAAAGATAGCATCACATTTCAAATCCTAATTTTTTTCCTGGGAAACTTCCCTCCTTTAGCCTTCAGTCTTCTCTCTAAACTGGATTGGGCCTCAGCTATTCTCATACGGGGTCTCCCCTTCCTGCTGTCCTGGGTTGTATCCTCTGCTTCCTAGATTTAACGTCTTTATTTTCAAACCAAGATGGGTTATCGTCATGGCTGGCAGCATTGTACTATAGTACTAGTTGCCTACATCCCCAAATTTGGAATATCCCTGCAGTCACGCAATATGGAGAATACTGTTTGCTAAGCATGGGGCTGGTGGCTGGAGATAACAGGCAAGGCCTACTAGGTCCCTGCTGTCATTCTGGCCCTGGATCTACACCTTGCTTGGCTCCCCTGCTGGCCCTAGTATAACAAGCCTTCCTTTTTATTTAAGTGTTCTTTATTGCTGCCTTTTCAGTGAAGATTTCTTTGTATTTTCTGGCCTACACTTGCTGTTTTTCACCTGAAATATTTTTTGGCTTTTAGTGTGACTCTTGCTGATCTCATGCTTATTGACTATGAATTAATTATTAATTGTTAATAATTAAATATGATTAACATGCTTATATTATTACTTTGAATTCTGGAACTGCCTCACTGCACTGAATAAGGAAAAAATATACTCTTAGAAATTAGTCTTTATTTGTTTATTTATTTATTTATTTATTTTTTTGAGAGAGTCTCGCTCTGTGGCCAGGCATAAAATAAATATTTTTAAAATTTAAAAAATAGGCCAGGCGAGGTGGCTCCTGCCTGTAATCCCAGCACTTTGAGAGGTTGAGGTGGGCAGATCACGAAGTCAGGAGATCGAGACCCTCTTGGCTAACATGGTGAAACTGTCTCTACTAAAAATACAAAAAATTAGCCGAGTGTGGTGGCAGGTGCCTATAGTCCCAGCTACTCAAAAGGCTGAGGCACAAGAATGGCTTGAACCCAGGAGGCGGAGGTTGCAGTGAGCCAAGATCACACCACTGCACTTCAGCCTGGGTGAAAGAGTCAGACTCCATTTAACAAAAAAAAAGAAAATTTATTGAAACATATAATTCTTACATATTTACGGGGTTCATGTGATATTTTGCTTTGTTTCATACATAGAATGTACAATAATTGAGTCAGGATATTTGGGGTATCAATCTTGTTGAGTATTGAACATTTCTATGTGTTGGGAAAATTTCAAATCCTCTCTTCTAGCTATGGAAATTTATAGTACTTTGTTAACTGCAGTCACCCTGCTCCACTCTTGAACATTACAAGTTATCTCTTCTTCTTGACTGTATGTTTGTACCCATTACCTAACTTCTCTTCATCTCATCTCTCCCACCCACATACACCCTTCCAATCTCTGGTATCATTCTCTCTACCTCTGTGAGATCAACTTTTCTAGCTCTCACATATAAGTGAGGACATGTGATATTTGTCTTTCTGTGTCTGGCTTATTTCACTTAACATAATGACCCCCAGTTCCATCCATGTTGCTGTAAACATTATTTCTTTTTTTTCTTTAAGACAGAGTCTTGTTCTGTCACTAGGCTGGAGTGCATTGGTGGGATCTAGGCTCACTGCAACCTCTGCCTCCCGAGTTCAAGCAATTCTCCTGCCTCAGCCTCCCAAGTAGCTGAGAGAGATTACAGGCACACACCGCCATGCCCAGCTATTTTTGTATTTTTAGTATAGACAGTTTCACCATGTTGGCCAGGATGGTCTCAATCTCTTAATCTCATGATCCGCCCGCTCTGGCCTCCCAAAGTGCTGGGATTACAGGCCTCAGCCACTGTGTCCAGCCAACATTATTTCATTTTTTTATGGCTGAATTCCACTGTGGAGATTTTTATATATATATATGGCACGTTTTCTTTATTCATTCATCTGCTGATCGACACTTAGGTTGATTCCATGTCTTTGCCATGTAAACATGGCTACAGTAAACACAGAAATGCAGGTTATCTTTTTATTTATATACTGATTTATTTTCCTTTGGATAAATTCCAGGCAGTGGGATTGGTGGATCACATAGCAGGTTTTTTTTTTTTTTTTGAGACGGAGTCTTACTCTGTCACCCAGGCTGGAGTGCTGTGGCATGATCTTGGCTCACTGCAACCTCTGCCTCCCAGGTTCAAGCAATTCTCCTGCCTCAGCCTCTCAAGTAGCTGGGATTACAGGCACCTGCCATCATGCCCAACTAATTTTTGTATTTTTAGTAGAGACGGGGTTTTACCATGTTGGCCAGGCTGGTCGTGAACTTCTGACCTCCAGTGATCCACCAGGCTAGGCCTCCCAAAGGGCTTGGATTATAGACGTGAGCCACTGTCCAGCCCACATGGTAGGTTTTTTATTCCCCATACTGTTTTCAATAGTGGCTGTACTAAATTACATTCCTATCTATCAACAGTGTGTAACAGTTTGATTCTCTCTCTCTCTCTTTTTTTTTTTTTTTTGAGATGGAGTTTTGCTCTTGTTGCTCAGGCTGGAGTGCAATGGCACGATCTCGGCTCACTGCAACCTCCACCTCCCAGGTTCAAGCTATTCTCCTGCCTCAGCCTCCCGAGTAACTGGGATTACAGGCATGCACCACCATGCCTGGCTAATTTTGTATTTTTAGTAGAGACAGGGTTTTACCATATTGGTCAGGCTTGTCTCAAACTCCTGACCTCAGGTGATCCTCCTGCCTTGGCCTCCCAAAGTGTTGGGATTACAGGTATGAGCCATGGCACCTGAATCAAACTTTCAAATAAGACTAAAACTGTTCCATCCCAAGTAGCTGATATGTTGTTTTCCTGCCATTCATTACAAAAATACAAAAATTGGCCAGGCGTAGTGGCTCACACCTTGTAATCCTAGCACTTTGGGAGGCTTAGGTAGACAGATCACTTGAGTCCATGAATTAAAGACCAGCCTGGGAAAAACCCATCTGTATAAAAAATACAAAAATCAGCCAAGCATGGTGGCATGTGCCTGTACTCCCAGCTACTCAAGAAGCTGGGATGACAAGGAGAAATACCTGAGCCCAGGAGTTCGAGACTGCAGTGAACCATGACTGTGCCACTGCATTCCAGTCTAGGCAACAGTGAGACCTTGTCCCCATCCCCCCAAAAAATGCTCTTGCTTTCAAATTCTTTTATTGCCCATCATATTGTAAATGTTTTTTCAAGATTCTTGATCAGATAATTATGAGAAGTCACAAAACATACAGGAGATAATTGGGCTTCAATAGACTTTACTTGTCAATAACAGAGTACAACTGAACTTTAAGTGGGAGCTGAAGTTTCTTTCTTGCCTTTTTTTTCCTTTGAGAGGAGGTCTTGTTGCCCAGGCTGGAGTGTAATGGTACAATCTTGGCTCACTGCAACCTCTGCCTCCCGAGGTCAAATGATTCTCCTGCCTCAACCTCCTGAGTAGCTGGGATTACAGGCATGTGCCACCATGCCCGGCTACTTTTTTTCTTTTTTTCTTTTTTTTTTAGTAGAGATGGGGTTTCACCATGTTGGTCAGGCTTGTCTAGAACTCCTGACCTCAGGTGATTCACCCACCTTGGCATCCCCAAATGCTGAGATTACAGGGGTTAGCCACCGCACCTGGCTTTTTTTTTTTCTTCTTGAAATAGTGTCTTGGTCTGTTACTCAGACTAAAGTTGTGCCATCAGAGCTCACTGCAACTTCAGACTCTAGGGCTGCAGCTATCCTCCTGCTTCAGCCTCCCTCACCATGCTCAACTAATTTTTTAAAATTTTTGTTAGAAACGAGTTCTTGCTGTGTTTTCCAGGCTGGTCTCAAATGCCTGAGCTCATGCAGTCCTCCTGCCTTAGCCTCCCAAAGTGCTGGGATTACAGGCGTGAGCCACTGCACCCAGCCGAGAGCTGAAGTTTCTTGCACAAACTCAGCTGCATGGTGAAGTGTTCAGAAGTGAAATCTAATGATGTCTGCAGCTTTGAAATACATTAATAAAATGATAAACGAATGGATGGAGGGATGGATAGGCAGAATGACACATGTAAAGCCAATAGAGAAAAATGTTATTTGTAGAATCTAGGTGATGCTAAAGGTCACACAGCTAGTCTGGACTGAGCTAAGCCTGGAATCCAGGTCTGCCAGTTCAGGAGAGGCTATGTGGTAAAGATAACACCCAGTTCCCAGTTTTTGTTTTTGTTTTGTTTTGAGATGGAGTCATGCTTTGTAGCCCAGGCTAGAGTGCAGTGGTACGATCTTGGCTCACTGCAACCTCTGTCTCCCAGGTTCAAGCAATCCTCCTGCCTCAGCCTCCTGAGTAGCTGGTACTACAGGCATGCGCCACCAGGGTCGGCTAATATTTTGGTATTTTTGGTAGAGATGGGGTTTCACCGTATTGCCTGGTTGGTCTCGAACTCCTGGCCTCAAGTGATTCACTCACCTCTGCCTCCCAAAATGCTGAATTACAGGCGTGAGCCACCACATGTGGCCCCAGTTCCCATTAATAATTATCTTGGGCTAGGAGCGGTGGCTCATGCCTATAATCCCAGCACTTTGGGAGGCCAAGGTGGGTGGATCATGAGGTCAGGAGTTCGAGACCAGCCTGACCAACATGGTGAAACCCCATGCTACTAAAAATACAAAAAATAGCTGGGCATGGTGGTACGTGCCTATAATCCCAGCTACTCAGAGGCTGAGGCAGGAGAATCCCTTGAACCTGGGAGGCAGAGGTTGCTGTGAGCCAAGATCACGCTGCTGCATTCCAGCCTGGGCAACAGAGTGAGACTCCATCTAAAAAAGAAAAAAAAAAGGCAGAGCACTGAAGCTTACCCCTGTAATTCCAGAACTTTGGGAGGCCGAAGCAGGCTGATCACTTGAAGTCAGAAATTTGAGACCAGCTTGGCCAACATGGCAAAACTCCGTCTCTACTGAAAATACAAAAATTACCCAAGCGTGGTGGTGGGTGCCTGTAATTCAGGAGGCTAAGGTGGGACAATCGCTTGAAACTGGGAGGCAGAGGTTGTAGTGAGCTGAGATCGGACCACTGCACTCCAGCCTGGGTGAGAACCCAAGGATTCAAAGAACAATCTTTTCAAAGATATATTTGAGTCACTGAGCACCAGTCCTGGAATGCAAATATGCTTAGGCCTACCTACCTCTTTTGTTCATTCCTTCAAAAGCTTTCTGTTCAAAAGTAGGGCTAGCAGATTTAAATGGGCCAGAAAGACCTCTCTGAACTGTTGTTTTTGTTTGGTTGGTTGGATTTTTTTGAGACAGAGTCTTGCTCTGTTGCCCAGGCTGGAGTGCAGTGGTGCTATCTCAGCTCACTGCAACCTCCACGTCCTGGGATCAAGCCATTCTTTTGCTTCAGCCTCCCGAGAAGCTGGGATTACAGGCATGCGCCACCACGCCTGGTTAATTTCTTTCTTTTTTTTTTTTTTTAAACTAGAGATAGGGTTTCTCTATATTGGCCAGACTGGCCTTGAACTCCTGACCTCAATCGATCCACCCACCTCAGCCTCCCAAAGTGCTAGGAATACAGTGCGTGAGCCACTGTGCCCGGCCTTCTTAACTTGACATATGCAAGCATTACAGTCAAAATTAGACTGGAAAGACTATGCCTTGATTTCAACTCTAATCAAAAGTCATTGATTCTTTCTTTAAAAAAAAAAAAGAGTATGCTAGTGCAGAGAAGGTTAAAAAGAAAAAAAAATGTAATCCCAGCACTTTGGGAGGCTGAAGCGGCTGGATCACCTGAGGTCAGGAGTTTGAGACCAGCCTGGCCAACACAGTGAAACCCCGTCTCTACTAAAAACACAAACAATTAGCCGGGCTTGGTGTCGAGCACCTGTAATCCCAGCTACTCCAGAGGCTGAGGCAGGAGAATCGCTTGAACCCAGGAGGAGGAGGTTGTGGTGAGCTGAGATCACGCCATTGCACTCCAGCCTGGGCAACAAGAGCAAAACTCCATCTCAAAAAAATAAAAATAGAAAATAAGAATCCTCCAGCATTATATTTCCAGCTACTGTGGAATATATCTTTATCAAAAAATACAAAATCCAGCGAACATGCAAATATCTGAGGAAGAAAAAAACGCTGCAATCACTAATTCATACAGTGAAGGACTGGCCCAGTTCCAGAGTTCATTAGGTTTGATGGTTTGTGCACTGTGTGCAGAATGAGAGTGGGGCGGAGAGTTCCCCACCTGAGGCCGCTGTCCTCTCTATGGCCACCTCTAGGTCTTCAACCAAGGAACACCTGCACTCCAGGTGTCTACTTGCCACATGTTTCACCTGCATTGGTAAAAGACAGAATCGTGGGATGAGCTTCCCCTCACGAGGGACAGGCCCGAGGTATCCTCTCTATTGTAGGGGATCCAGAGTGGGTCCTTTAATAGACACTGGAATGTAGGGGGCTCCATCTCAGAGAAATAGGAGAAATACAGGCCAAAAAGTAGACTGTTCCAAGAGAGCGAACAATCCAGAAGAAAAAGCCAGTTAAGTGAATGGTTTTCAGTGAAGGAATCCCAAGTGGGATGGGGAACAAGGGGGCTGTGTGCAGGAGGTTCAGGAAATGGGTCAGCCCCCAGGCACCTTTTCAGATTCCTGCCTCCTCCTCCCCACAGCCCTCTGTGCCCTCACCTCTGCTTTTTCCCTAAGGCAGAACTTTGTTTTCCTTAAACGCCCACTTCCTTTCTTTATCCCTCAATGCATAAACCTGGCCTCTTCCTCTCCAGAGAAAACACTGACCAGTTTGTGTGAACGCCATCACCCACACTCCTGAAATATATCTGGAAAGTGCCGGAAGTGAACTGGGGGATCCTGGCCTCCCAAAACATGGACGGGCTCTGAAAGCCCCACCGCGGCCTGCTGCCACCCGCACCTCTCGCTGCAGGAGCGGTGGATCCACTGATGGGCTTCCAGGGCGGACTTGCGCTTGAAGGCTTTCCCACACTCTGCGCAGGGGAAGGGCCGGCTGTCGGAGTGAATGCGCTGGTGACTGAGGAGGAGAGAAGAGTAGGTGAAGCGGCGGCCGCAGTCTGGACAGGGGTAGGGCTTCTCGCCCGTGTGTGCGCGCCTGTGGATGGCCAGCAGCGAGGTGTAGGCAAAACGGAGGCTGCAGTCGGGGCAGCTATAGGGCTTCTCGCCGGTGTGCTTGCGCTGGTGGATGGCCAGCAGGTAGGGGTAAGTGAAGCGACTCTTGCAGTCTGGGCACGCGTAGGGCTTCTCCCCAGTGTGAGCCCGCCTGTGGATAGCGAGGGAACCCCTCTGGCGGAAGCGGCGTCCGCAGTCGGGACAGGGGTAGGGCTTCTCGCCGGTGTGGATGAACTGATGCTGGAGCAGGTACTTGCGCTGGGAGAAACGTGCTGAGCACTGGGTGCAGGGGAAGGGCCGCTCCCCGGAGTGGACCCGCTGGTGGCTGGCCAGGAGGGAAGGGTAGCTAAAGTTGCGGCCACAGTGTAGGCAAGAGTAGGGCGGTCTTCGGGTCACAGTGTCCTCGAGCCAGGGCTTGCTGCTGCAGAGCTCTGGGCAGATGGCGCTGGGCAACCACTCCTTGAGAGCCACTTCATGTGCCACCACTTTTTGTTTTGGACAGTTCTTCACCCTTTCCTTCTCCTCATTCCCATCCCTGGATCCTGAAACAGGGAAGAGGTTAAAATCAGAAACCCATCCGTGGATCCTGAGACAGGGAAAATGACAAAATCAAAACCAGCATATTCCGGGACCATGTCCTGCCTTCAGGCGGCAGGAATGGTTCAGAATATGGCCCCCAGGGAGCACGGCTTAATGATAAGGGCCTCATGAAGTCCTGAAAGCCAGCCTGGAGTAAAAGCAAATGCCACGGTCTGCAGGTTAACCCAAGAAGAGTGAATACTGGAGATGATGAAAGAGGAGTCGGGCTGGGTGCCATGGCTCAAGCCTGTAATCCCAGCACTTCAGGAGCCTGAGGTGGGAGGATCGCTTGAGGCCAGAAATTCAAGGGACAATGAGCTGGGATTGGGCCACTGTACTCCAGCCTTGGCAACTCTCTTGAACTCCCAACCTCAGGTGATCCGCCCACCTTGGCCTCCAAGATTCTTGGATTACAGGCGTGAGCCACCACACAGCCTGGGCAACTCTCTAATTTAAAAAATAAAAATAAAAAAAGGCCAATTGCAGTGGCTAAACCTATAATCCCAGTACTTTGGGAGGCTGAGGCAGGTGGATCACAAGGTCAAGAGATCAAGACCATCCTGGCCAACATGGTGAAACTCTGTCTCTACTAATAATATAAAATTTCGCTGGGCGTGGTAGCACGTGCCTGTAATCCCAGCTACTTGTGAGGCTGAGGCGGGAGAATCACTTGAACTCTGGAGGCAGAGGTTGCAGTGAGCTGAGATCATGCCATTGCACTCCAGCCTGGGTGACAGAGGAAGCCACCTTCTTAAAAAAAAAATATAGAGAGAGAGCTGGGCTCAGTGGGTGGCTCACGCCTGTAATCCCAGCACTCTGGGAGGCTGAGGCAGGCAGATAACCTGAGGTCAGGAGTTCGAGACCAGCCTGGCCAACATGGGAAAACCTAGTCTGTACTAAATTACAAAAATTAGCCGGGCGAGGTGCTGGGTGCCTATAATCCCAGCTATTCGGAAGGCTGAGGCAGGAGAATCCCTGGAACCCAAGAGGGGGAGGTTGCAGTGAGCCAACATCATGCCACTGCACTCCAGCCTAGGAGACAGCAAGACTCTGTCTCAAAAAATAATAAATAAATAAGAAAGAGGAGTGAACAATATTGAACACCTACTCTGTGCCAGGCTTTGAGGACAGTGATGGTCCCAGTCCTCATGGCACTTTCCATCCTGAACCTGTTTATGATCCCTTAACAGGCATTCAATGACCTTCTTTGATACCAATTCAAATTCTTTTGGCTCCTTTCCTCTCCGCCCTTACACACAGCCACCAAAAAGTCTACACTTGGACTGCCCCAATAGGTTACACACGAAGACCTTCCAGGAACAAGCATTTATTCTGGTATCAGAGCTGCAGGAAAAACATTTCATCTTCATTTAAAAATCTATGAATGGCCTGGCGCGGTGGTTCACGCCTATAATCCCAGCACTTTGGGAGGCCGAGGCAGGTGGATCACAAGATAAGAGATAGAGACCATCCTGGTCAACAAGGTGAAACCCCGCCTCTACTAAAAATACAAAAATTAGCTGGGCATGGTGGCACACGCCTGTAGTCCCAGCTACTCCGGAGGCTGAGGCAGGAGAATTGCTTGAACCCAGGAGGCGAAGTTGCGGTGAGCTGAGATCACGCCATTGCACTCCAGCCTGGGTAACAAGAGTGAAACTCTGTCTCAAAAACAAAAAAACTGATGAATGGTGTTATTTACACTGTGCTTAGGAAATAACAACTTCATTAGATTTTTTAAATGAAGATGAAATCATTAGTATCCAAGAGGAACATCTGTCTTCATTTTATCCCACAACAAAAATTACAGGTTTCCTCTTTCCCTTGACCTCCTGGAAACCTCAAGCTCTATTTTGCATTAAACTGGGGTTTTCCTGTATGGTTAATCTGTTCCATTGGTCCCAATTTCGCTGCTCCACCGGGCCATTTTGCAATGAGATGTGGACCTTTCTGGGGTAATGTGCAGGGAGACAGAATGAGACTTTGCAGGGGGCAGCCTGCGCTGAAGATGTGAGTTGGGGGAGGAAGTTGGGACTTCTCCACGGCCACCTACTGCTGTTTAAAATGAAGTACCTGCTTTCTGTCCCTGGCCTCCGCTGACAGTTCCAGGGCTCTCACCCTCGGGATCCTGGACCTCCGGGCTCCACGCTTCCATTTCTCCTTCCACCCAAGAGATAAAAGCGGATTTGGGGCCTGAAAATCCTGCGAAGGAGAAACACTGGGTTCGGCTGAGCTCACCGGAGGCGGGGATGAGGCTCCTCCCTCGGTGCCCCACTTCCAGCCCATTCGCTTTTGCGGACACCGATCCCCGCTTCCCACCGACTACTGGGGGTCCCGACCGGAGCTCCCGACCTCACCCAGCGCGCCCAGGTGGCCGCAGGTCTCCCGCATCACGTCCCGGTATAGGGCCCTCTGTGCGGGCCGCAGGCAGCCCCACTCCTAGGGGGAGAAGTACACGGCCACGTCCGCGAAGCTCAAGGCTCCCGGCCTGCTATCCCGCCTGGGCGGAGGCCGGGTCTCCCAGAGTACATGGGCCGGGGGCGGCCCCGTGGGAAACCCTTTCTGCCTGGTAAAGGGAAGCTTCCGGGGAAAGTGGAGATGCCGGCGCTTAACTGTCTTTCCTCTGATAAGTCCGTAAGGACCCTACACCTTCCCTTAACCAAGATGGCGCCTTCCTGGCGTCAACACCTCTCGCTTTTCCTCGGTACCCTTACACACCTGGGGGAAACCAGGGGGGAAGCTGCCCTCGTAACACAACCAGATAGATGGCGTGTGTTGATTGGACACTACCGGGAGGCCCAGGGTAGAAGAAATGCTGTGATTGGGCATTTTTTTGGAGCGGTCTGTTTGAAAAGCTGAGGGTGAAGGAACGACAGATCTGAAAGTAGTCGGAGCTGAGGGGCCTCAGGGTCTCTTGACTCGCTTTTCCCAGACAGCCTCCTAGGAGAGGCTGTGGCCAGCTGACGCTACTTCCTTCTGCTACTGAGGTGAGACGCTTTAGGACAGATGCGGATGTCCAGGGCTTCGGGGTGAGTAAAGGTGAAGCGCAAAGCCTTGGGCGGCTGTGTAGTGAGCGGGTTAGGGACGGCAGATCCCAGCTCTGAGCTCTGCGTACTCCGGACCGGGCCAGCCCGAGGGAACAGGATCCTACCCAGGATCTAATTTGGCGTTTGCCCGATGGTCACAGATGTCTTTCCTTTTAGGGACACAGAAGGCTGGGTAACTGCTCACAGGCGCAGAGCCAGGATTTAACGGCAGCTCCTGGCCGGGCGCGGTGGCGCGCGCTGGTGGTCCCAAGCTAGTCGGGGGACTGAGGCAGGAGGATCGCCTGAATCCCGGAGGTGGAGACTGCAGTGAGTTGAGATCGCGCCCCAGCACCTCAGGCTGGGCGACAGAGCTGGGCGCCCATCTCTAAAAACAAAAAGTCATTTTCTCGCTTCCAGGTTCGGTTAAGGGCTTAGTGTAGGGCCCTGCACAAAGTACTATTATAATTATGAGTTTATAGTTGTTATATTAATTTTTAATACCATCTGTGTCCTATCTCAATCAGAAAACCTGTGTTCAAATTACAGCTGATGGCCAGGCACTGTAACTCACGTCTGTAATCCCACCCGCTTTGGAGGCCAAGGCGGGTGGATCACGAGGTCAGGAGTTCGAGACCAGCCTGGCTAACATGGTGAAATCCTGTCTCTAACAAAGATATAAAAGAGTGGTGTGTGCCTGTAATTCCAGCTACTCGAGAGGCTGAGGCAGGAGAATTGTTTGAACCCAGGAGGCGGAGGTTGCAGTGAGCCAAGATTGGGCCACTGCACTCCAGCCTGGGTGACAGGAAGAGACTCCGTCTCTAAATAAATAAATAAGCAAGCAAGCTGATAAGTGAGTAATAAAACTGGGAAATGAATCAGATAATCTCTTAAGACTGTTTTTCTGACCTTTCCAATCCAGTATTCATAGAAACAGAGGAGGAACATTTTAGATGTATAACAAAAAGCTGTTCATCCCCACTTTTAATTTGGCTGGGCACAGACTCACGGCTGTAATCCCAGCACTTTGGGAGGCTGAAGTGGGTGGATCATTTGAGGTCAGCAGTTCAAGATCAGCCTGGCCAACAACTCTACTAAAATACAAAGATTGGCCAGGCGTGGTAGCACATGCCTGTAATTCCAGCTACTTGGAGGGCTGAGTCACAAGAATCACTTAAATTCAGGAGGCAGAGGTCGCAGTGAGCCCCAGTCACATCATTGCACTCCAGCCTGGGCGACAGAGTGAGATTCGATCTCAAACACACACACACACACACACACACACACACACACACACACACACAATATATATATATATACAGATGGCCAATAAGGACATGAAAAGATGTTCAACATCATAAGTCTTTAGGAAAATGCAAATTATACCCACCAAGAGCACTTAAAGCCCCTGAACTGAATTTAAAATGGCTGGGCTTGGTGACTCAGGCCTGTAATCCCAGCACTTTGGGAGGCTGACGCAGGTGGATCGCCTGAGGTCAGGAGTTGCAGACCAGCCTAGCCAACAAGGTGAAACCCCGTCTCTACTAGAAATAAAAAAATTTGGCTGGGAATGGTGGCTCACCCTGTAATCCCAGCACTTTGAGAGGCCAAGGCAGGTGGGTCACCTGAAGTCAGGAGTGCAAGACCAGCCTGGCCAACGTGGAGAAACCTCATTTCTACGAAAAATACACAAATTAGCCAGGCATAGTGGCACATGCTTGTAATCCCAGCTACTTGAAAGGCTGAGGTGGGAGAATTGCTTGAACCTGGGAGGCGGATATTGCTGTGAGCTGAGATCATGCCGCTGCACTCCTGCCTGGGCGACAGTGAGACTCTGTCTCAAAAAAATAAATAAAATAAAAATACAAAAATTTCAGTAGCTCGAGCCTGTAATCCCAGCTACTGAGGAGGCTGAGGCAAGAGAATCACTTGAACCCAGGAGGTGGAGGTCAGAGGTCGCAGTGAGCCAAGATCATGACATTGCACTTCAGCCTGGGCAACAAGCGAAACTCCATCTCATTAAAAAAAATTTTGTTAAAATGATAAATTTTATGTTATTTATATTTTATGTCAATAAAAAAGCACTATGAGATATCACTTTACATTCATGATGGTTAACAACAAAAAAAAGCCAGAGAAAAAAGTGTTGATGAGGATGTGGAAAAATTGGAACCCTTGTGCATTGCTGGTGGGAATGTAAAATGGTGCAGCCACTGTGGAAAACAGTCCGTTCCTCAGTTAAACCTAGATCTACCATGTGATCCAGTAATTCTACTCATAGGTACCCACAAAAAAATGGAAAACAGATTCAAACAGATACTTATATACCAGTGTTCACTGTGGCATCATTCATAATAGTAAAAAGGAGAGAAAAACCCATATCCATCAACTGATGAATGAATGAACAAAATGTGTTCTATACAATGCAATATTAATAAGCCATCAAAAGGAATGAAATTCTGCTGGGCCCAGTGGCTCACACCTGTAATCCTAGCACTTTGAGAGCCCAAGGTGGGTGGATCACTTGAAGTCAAGAGTTCGAGACCAGCCTGACCAACATGATGAAACCCTGTCTCTACTAAAAATACAAAGATTAGCCGAGCATGGTGGCTCATGCCTGTAATTCCAGGCATGAGAATCGCTTGAACCCAGGAGATGGAGGTTGCTCCAGCCTGGGAGACAGAGTGAGACTTCCTTTCCAAAAAAAAAATAAAAAAGGAATGAAATTCTTATACATGCTACACCATGGATGAATCTTGAAAACATGTTAAATCAGTGGTCCCCAACCTTTTTGGCACCAGGGACCAGTTTCATGAAAGACAATTTTTCCACAGACTGGGATGATTTTGGGATGAAACTGTTCCGCTTTAGATCATAAGCATCAGTTGGATTCTCATAAGGAGCGCACAACCTGGATCCCTTGCATGTGCAGTTCACAATAGTTTCACATTCCTATGAAAATCTAATGCTGCCGCTGATCCGACTGGAGCAGGAGCTCAGATGCTAATGCTTGCTCGCCTCCTGCTGAGTGGCCCAGTTCCTAACAAGCCATGGACTAGTACTCGCCTGTGGCTGGAGATTGGGGACTCCTGTGTTAAATAAGCCAGACACAAAAGGACAAATATTATGATTTCTCTTATATGAAATATCTAGAAAAGGCAAATTCATAGAGACAGACAGTAGAATAGAGGTTATTTGTGATGAGGGGAAGGTGGGTATAAAGAGTTACTGTTTAGACTGGGTGCAGTGGCTCACTCCTATAATCCAAGCACTTTGGGAAGCTGAGGTAGGAGGATTGCTTCAGACCAGGAGTTCAAGACCAACCTGGGCAACATGGTAAGATCCTGTCTATAAAATTTAAAAATTTTCTGTGTATGGTGACATGCGCCTGTGGTCCCAGGTGCTCAGGAGGCTGAGGTGGGAGGACCACTTGAGCCCAGGAGGTTGAGGCTGCAGTGAGCTATGTTCGTGCCCACTGCACTCTGGCCTGCATGACAGAGCAAGACCCTCTATCAAAAAAAAAAAAAAAAAAAAAGTCGGGAGGGAGGGAGCAAAAAAGTTTCTGCTTAATAGACACAGACCTTCTGTTTGAGATGATGAAAAACTTCTGGAAATAATGATGTTACACAACAGTGTGAATGTACTTAATGCTACTGATACACTTAAATATGATTAAAAAGTTAAATTTTACATTATGTATATTTTACCACACACACATGCAAATCACAATGTTGCAATATCCAAATCTTATATCTTTAACACCACTCATAGGATTTGTACAAAAGATCTTGTGAGTATGTTTACATTACTTGCAAGAATGACTCATGTTTAATAGGAGACAGGGCTCGGCCCACAGGCTTACAAGACGTAAGACGCCAACAGCTGTAGGTGAGACTGCCTGATCGTTTTGTGACATTGTTTCTCCCAGGTGCTCCTGTCCCTTTCCCAGAGAGGCTGACATTAACTTTCACTCTCTGTGTCAGTGTTTCCTGCTCTTGCTTTCAATGATATCCTTCAAACTAGTAACTTCTCTATGTTCATTGTTAAAATTCTCACAGGAGGCCAGGCAAAGTGGCTCACACCTGTAATCCCACCACTTTGGGAGGCCGAGGTGGGCATATCACCTGAGGTCAGTTGTTTGAGACCAGCCTGGCCAACATGGCGAAACCCCATCTCTACTAAAAATACAAAAAATTAGCCAGGCTGGTGGCACATGCTTGTAATCCTAGCTACTTGGGAGGCTGAGGCAGGAGAATTGCTTGAGCCCAGGAGGCAGAGGTTACAGTGAGCCGAGATCATGACATTGCACTCCAGCCTGGGTGACAGAGTGAGACTCTGTCTCAAAATAAATAATAAATAAATGAATAATTCTCACAGAATGAAAATCTTCTTTTGCATTTTCCCAATGTCTTTACTGATTATTTTTGGGATTTGGAAAAAACGTAAGACTGGGCGCAGTGGTCCACATCTGTAATCCCAGCACACTGAGAGGCCAAGGCAGGAGGATTGCTTGAGCCCAGGAGTTTGAGACCAGACTAGGCAACATGGAGAAACTTCATCTCTACAAAGAATACAAAAAAAATTAGCTGGATATGGTGATGAATGCCTATAGTCCCAACAACTCAGGAGGCTGAGGCAGGAGGATCACTTGAGCTCAGGGAAGTTGAGGCTGCAGTGAGACGTGATTGCACCACTGCACTCCAGCCTGGGCCACAGAGCAAGACCCTTTCTTGCTGGGAAGGAATTCTCATATGTACACACTAGCAGAAGCCACAAGAGGCACCAGGAAAACCATAAGAATGTGGGGGTATGAAAGCTTAATTACAAGAGAGTTTAAGTAGGAAAACTAAGGTATGTAAGATGAAAACTGAAGAACTGATTTGTTAACTAGGTCATCAGTTCTCTTAAAGGACAGTTTTAGAATAATACATTACATAGCAGCTGACTTTGGAGTCACCAAGATAGGTGATCCTGGACAAGTTATTTAATGTCACTGAGCCTCTGTTTCCTCATCTAGTCAAGGAAAGTAATACCTACTGTAAGATCTGGAATTTGAGGCTGCCTTACTTACAGGTTAATAAATATGTCTGTTACTGTTTCATGGATGCTGGCAGAAAACAGACAAAAGACCTTACTGTTTATGGCACAACAAGCAGTGTGAGCATGCTTGCATTGCTTCCTTCCACCCCTGCTCTTGCTTTCAATGATATCCTTCATTGCAGGGGCAACTGGGATGTGCCCAGATGGATGCTAGACACACAGAGAGTTGCATCATAGGGGAGGAACAAGGAGCTCCTGCTGTTTTTTCCTTTTTAAAGACGAATTTGGGTCAGGGGTGGTGGCTCACGCTTGTAATCCCAGCACTTTGGGAGGCTGACACGGGCAGATAGGTCAGGAGTTCAAGACCAGCCTGACCAACATGGTGAAACACCGTCTCTACAAAAATGCAAAGATTAGCTGGGCATGATGACGAGTGCCTATAATCCCAGCTACTCAGGAGGCTGAGGCAGGAAAATTACTTGAACTCAGGAGATGGAGGTTGCAATGAGCCGAGATCACACCACTGCACGCTAGCCTGGGCGACAAGAGAGAGACTCCTTCTCAAAATTAATTAATTTTAAAAAATAGGCACATGCCTGTAATCCCAGCACTTTGGGAGGCTGAGGCAAGTGGATCACAAGATCAGGAGTTCAAGACCAGCCTGGCCAATATGGTAAAGCCCCGTCTCTACTAAAAATACAAAAATTAGCCAGGCAAGGTGGCAGGCACCTGTAGTTCCAGCTACTCGGGAGGCTGAGGGAGGAGAGTCGCTTGAACTGGGGAGGGAGAGGTTGCAGAGCGAGACTCCATCACAAAAAAAAAGATGAGGTCTTGCTATGTTGGCCAGGATAGTCTCAAACTCCTGGCCTCAAGCAATCCTCCTGCTTTGGCCTCCCAAAATGCTGGGATTACAGGTGTAAACCACCATGCCCAGCCACCTGCTATTTTATAGTAAGCAGTAAGCAAGCCGCTCTTCGTCTTGGATGCAGACATCACCTCTCCCTCAAGTTTTGCTTGCTACAAACTGAGAAATGTTCTGGGTAAAGAGTGCCAAGGGCTTTGCTTATTTATTGGTTACACTTGCATTTATGGTTTATTAAAGCAAAAGAATACAGAGTAAAATCAGCAAAGGGATAAGGTACATGGGGCAAAATCCAGAGGCAACCAGCCACCAACTTTCAGATGTCTACTCACAGTGGAGTAGTAGATGTGCTTTTTTTCTCCCTGCAATGATTTGTGACAACAGGTGCTGACTGTTCCCCAACAGAGAAGTTCACCTGAGCTGTAGTGTGCAGGGTTTTTTGGTTTTTTGTTTGTTTTTGTTTTGAGACGGAGTCTTGCTTTTGTCACCCAGGCTGGAGTGCCATGGTGGATCTCAGCTCACTGCAATCTCCGCCTCTCAGGTTCAAGCAATTCTCCTGCCTCAGTCTCCCAAGTAGCTGGGATTACAGGTGTGTGCCACCACACCTGGCTAATTTTGTATTTTTAATAGAGATGGGATTTCACCATGTTGACCAGGCTGGTCTTGAACTCCTGACCTCAGGTGATCCACTCGCCTCACCATCCCAAAGTGCTGGGATTATGAGCATGAGCCACCATGCCTGGCCATGTGTAGGGTTTTTATTGGGGGTCAGTCACATAGGCTTGGAGTGTCCACACTACTCATCTCTGCTACTCAGACCCCAGAGCAAAAACCACTGTTGACTATAAATCACACTTAGGATAAACTTGTTTGTTCAGACTGGTACAGCATGATGGCATGGCCCAAGACCTCTGGCACACATCAGCAGTGCACACACTCCTGATCTGGGAGTCCACTGTACCTGGTGAACTACAGTGATATTTTGAATCTCCTAATATTAAAATTAGTTTAGGTCCAATGTCCCAAATCCCTGGAAACTCTAGTTACTTCCCCTTCTCCAATGTCCACAGTAGCAGTAGCCTATATTCACTGAACCCACTTCTTTATTCTTTGGCCCACTACAGTATTAATAGACACTTGAGGCCGGCCACAGTGGCTCATGCCTGTAATCCCAGCACTTTGGGAGGCCGAGGCAGGCAGATCACCTGAGGTTGGGAGTTCAAGACCAGCCTGAACAACATGGAGAAACCTTGTGTCTGCTAAAAATACAAAATTAGTCAGGCGTGGTGGCGCGCACCTGTAATCCCAGCTACTCAAGAGGCTGAGGAAGGAGAATCGCTTGAACCTAGTAGGCAGAAGTTGTCGTGAGCCAAGATTGCACCATTGCACTCCAGCCTGGGCAACAAGAGTGAAAATCCATCTCAAAAAAAAAAAAAAAAAAATAGATAGCCGGGTGCGGTGGCTCACGCCTGTAATCCCAGCACTTTGGGAGACCGAGGCTGGCAGATCACGAGGTCAAGAGTTCAAGACCAGACTGGCCAACATGGTGAAACCCCGTCTTCATAAAAATAAAAATAAAATAAAAATAGATACTTGACAGAGCTTTCATGATGTACCTTGTAGTACATTTGGAAAAGGCTAGAAGGTCTACAGCATGTTTTTGTCAGTGTACATGGTCCTTCATCAAGAGGACCCAGTCTCCCCTTCATTCAACAGACTCTAGGTCTGTGAATAGGCTCAAGTCTGAGAATTTGTTGGCAGCAGAGACTTGTGGTTTTTGCCAACTCAGCAAGATGTGTGGGACTGTGAGAGACCCATGGAGTAGTATCTGCTAACACCTACTTTATAGAGTTCTTATAAACATTAGATTGGAATGTATATAAAGTGCTTAACACAGTATGTGGCACATCATAAAAGCTCAGTCAAGTGGCTATTAATATTGCAGTAGACCAAAGAATAAACAACTGGATTCAGGCCGGGTGCAGTGGCTCACACCTGTAATCCTAGCAATTTGGGAGGCCGAGGCGGACAGATGACTTGAGGTCAGGAGTTCGAGACCAGCCTGGCCAACATCATGAAAACCCACCTTTACTAAAAATACAAAAATTAGCTGGGAGTGATGATGTGCGCCTATAGTCTCAGCTACTCAGGAGGCTGAAACACAAGAATCGCTAGAACCCAAGAAGAGGAGGCTGCAGTGAGCTGAGATTGTGCTACTGCACTCCAGCCTAGATGACAGAGTGAGGTTTCAGAAAGAAGGAAAGTGAGAGAGAGAGAGGAAAGAAGGAAGGCGAGAAGAAGGAAGAAGGAAGGAAAGAAGGAAGGAAGGGAAGGAAGGAAAGGAAAGAAGGAAGGAAGGAAGGAAGGGAATGAAGTGGATTCAGTGAATGTAGGCTACTGCTTCAAGACATTTAGCTCAAAATAATAGAGATAGAGAGAAAAGTTCTTTTTTGTTTTAAAGGTGGATCAGCCAGGCGCTGTGGCTCACATCTGAAATTCCAGCACTTTGAGAAGCTGAGGCAGGCAGATCATGAAGCCAGGAGTTCAAGACCAGCCTGATGAACATGGTGAAACCCATCTCTACTGAAAATACAAAAGTTAGCCAGGCATGGTGGCACGCAGCTGTAATCCCAGCTACTCGGGAGGCTGAGGCAGGAGAATCACTTGAACCCAGGAGGCAGAGATTGCAATGAGCCAAGACCGAGCCACTGCACTCCAGCATGGGCGATAGAACAAGATTCCACCTTTAAAAAAAAAAAAAAAAGCCATATCTTAGCATGCTTATAAG